GGGAGTTGAGTTGTGAGGTTGGGAAGAAATTGCCAGATTAATTGATTTATGGTTAGAAGAGTGTATTTATGTTGGGTATGATTGGACCTATATACTCTCGTCTATCGATCTAGATTAGATTGATTAAGAATGACGAAGACGACAAGCTCGGAAGTACTTTCATCAACGAAGAAGAGGTAGTGCCGCGGCGAATTTAACAGGACAACTCACTGCTCAATTACTGAATCCTAAGCTAACTATGCAATCTACATCTACGTAGTACGCATACAAACTAAACTAGTAATAGCTGTAGTGTAACCCCCCACAAAGGTCACCAGCCATCTCAGCCGTAATCAAAAGCAATTAAATCAACACACCGAGATAACACAACCACCGAAATCCGAGACTAAAGACGACCAGCAAAGAGATAAAGGGTCAGATACCCACCTCCCTACTGTGTAAGCGCCAGGGGCAAAGTCCGATAACCGGTGTTGGTACTCCGTAGAAACTTCTTCGAAGACCGTTGCCGTCCCCACCCATTCCCACTTTTTTTTTCCTCTTTCCCACGTTGTAAACTTTTTTTTCCCACCCGAGGTGACATCAGCTCAACGGTCAACCTTACTCCTGATTCTTGTTCATGAAAACCTTCCCAGATCACTCTGGGGAGCCCTTTCAACAGGGGAACAAAAAGGGAGAGAGGAAAGGGAAGCCTCTGGGGTGAATTTTACCGATTCTTCAATGCATAGTGGCTGACGGCATACACTTCAACGGCCCGTCCTAAACAGCTGCTAATAAGCTTCCCGACGACGATCATCATCATGACCGATACAACCGCCGAGATGGCCTCCTCAGACAGTACACTCGAAGCCACACTTTCGCGATCAGAATCCATCCGCTCGGCCGTTCAGACCTTCTCGCCTCTTCATGAGCTCGTCTTCGTCTTTGTGGTCTGCATGTCGCAGTTCATGACGCAGGCCGCGCTCGGAAACACCCTCGCCCCACTTGAGATCATCAGCGACAGCTTCGGCATCACCAACCCTGGTATTTCCAGTTGGTTGATCGCTGGGTACTCCCTAACTGTCGGCACTTTCATTCTATTCTTCGGCCGCTGTGGCGATATTTTCGGATACCGTATCTTGTATATCACCGGGTGGATCTGGTTCGCGATCTGGTCCCTGGTGGCGGGGGTGAGTGTGTATTCGAACTACATCCTGTTCATTTTTGCGCGTACCTTACAAGGCATCGGGCCTGCGATGCTCCTTCCTAATGGCCTGGCGCTGCTGGGTGCGACATATCGACCGGGAAAGAAGAAGTATATGGTCTTCTCGCTCTTCGGGGCTACCGCGCCAAACGGCGCCGTTTTGGGAGCCATCTTTGCGTCGCTGTTTTCCCAGCTCGCTTGGTGGCCGTGGACTTTCTGGGCCATGGCGATCTATTGCTTTGTGTTGGCGATCATGTCCCTCCTTGCGATTCCTCCTTCCCCGTCAGTTGCGCAGGGTATGTCGCTTGCGCAGCTGATGTCTGAACTAGACGTGGCCGGGGCATTCTTCGGAGTTGCAGGCTTGGTTCTGATCAACATCGCGTGGAATCAGGCACCCGTGGTAGGATGGCAGGAGGCATATGTATACGTCCTGCTAATCATCGGAGCCCTGATTCTAGCCATGTTCTTCGTCTGGGAGATCAAGTACGCAGCCAAGCCACTCATCCCTTTCCACGCACTGGATCTCGACGTCTGCTTTATCCTGGGCTGCATTGCATGTGGCTGGGCCAGTTTCGGCATCTGGGTCTACTACTTCTGGCGGTTCCTGGAGAATATCCGAGGCATATCGCCGTTGCTGGCATCGGCGCAGTTCATACCGCCGGCCTTGTCCGGACTGACGGCCTCATTCACGACGGGACTCCTCATGGCGAAAATGCGGCCCGGCTGGATCATGCTGATGGCCATGGTGGCTTTCACCCTGGGTAATATATTTTCGGCTATCGCTCCGGTTCATCAGACGTATTGGGCGTTGACCTTTGTAACGCTGTTGGTCACTCCGTGGGGAATGGACATGTCGTTCCCTGCGGCCACAGTTGTCTTGTCGAATGCGGTCGGGCGTCGCCATCAGGGTGTTGCAGCGTCGTTGGTCACGACGGTCGTTAATTATAGCATCTCGCTGGGGCTGGGCTTTGCGGGCACTGTCGAGGTGCATGTGAATAACGGTGGCCAAACCTTCCATGATACGCTTAAAGGGTATCGCGGAGCCTTGTACATGGGTATCGGACTGGGTGGGCTTGGAGTTGCCATCAGTGTGCTCTATCTCATCAAGAGCAGACCGAAACCGGGCCAGGAGGAGAATCGGCTGGAAAAAGCAGCTGAATGATCGTTTTTCATCATTTCGATAAGGAATGGAGATACAGCATATATAATCCGGCGTGCTCATTATAGACATAGCCACAGAGCCCGCCTGCATAGTGGCAAATCCAAAATACTATTCAGTTAATAGATTAACTTGACACCCAGCGTATGACAGATGAGCCACCATATTGCAACGGGATATGCGAAGGGGATAGCAGTCATTCCGGGTGATCTTATGGCCCTCGGCCCTTATTATTGCGTGCCCATAATCGCGAGTGCAAACCTTTCTATCGTTGATTTTCAGTGCGCTGCTATTCGCATCACGCTAAATCAGAAACGCGCCCTCTCCTTACTGGCATTGGACAATTCAAATAAGTCTGCAGCTGCAGAACCAATCAAAGTGTGCTGCTCTGCATTGCTCGTGATTGCTCGACAAGCCTAGAATTCCGGACGCCCGTCTAGGCGGGAGCAAAAACCGGGAATCCAAATTCCGAGGGTAACGGCAATTGATTCAACTGAAGGAGCCAGGATGGCAAAGAACACACATCGGTGACCTCATTTCCTTCATCCAAGTGCTGGAGAAACCACATGGTCGCAATCTCCTCTAGATAGCAATGAGAATACCAGTAAAATGCTTCCCTTCATATGAAGATGGGTCGATTAATCGCTGCACCGTAGTGAACGTCCAATCAGCAAATCCGATAAGCAATAATCGGACTGGGAGCGATAGTTTCAGCGAGTTCCCAAAGACGGGTCCAGTTCGCCGCCCTGGCGATGAACCTCGGCACAGGCACTGGCCCTCCATGAATTCGGGCCGCGGATCCACTGGTCGCCATCCCTTCATGTGTCTTGCCAACAAAAGGAACGCTCCTTATTTCGTTCTCTTTCCCTATCTCTGGTGATCATTCTTTTCTTTCCTAATCCCTAGTTACCGTGTTCCTGTGCTGCAACCTTCACGAAATTTCCAGCATCGCGTGAACAATTTTCACATCCCCTATCTCCGACCCACCGCACTACCCCGGACGACCGATCTATCGGCCGAGATGAGCAGCCCGGGCGATTACAACGCCGTCCGCAAGGACATTGTCGCACAACTGAAGAAGCCAGACTATGATGATGGAAGCGCGGGCCCAGTATTTGTCCGGTTGGCATGGTGAGTCGCCTCTAGGCTGAATGTTTCACATGTCAGTCGCCACTAACCCCTGAGCAGGCACTCCGCGGGTACCTACGACGCCGAAACCGACACGGGCGGCAGCAACGGTGCGGGCATGCGATATGAAGCAGAGGGGGGTGATCCGTCAAACGCAGGCCTTCAATACGGTCGGGCATTCTTAGAACCTGTAAAGGAGAAGCATCCTTGGATTACATACTCCGATTTGTGGACGTTAGCAGGCGTGGTGGCGATCAAGGAGATGGGCGGGCCGGAAGTCGAGTGGAAGCCAGGTCGGACGGACCTCGTCGACGACTCCAAGGTACCGCCTCGTGGCCGGCTACCTGACGGTGCTCAGGGTGCAGACCATCTCCGCTTCATCTTCAACCGGATGGGCTTCAACGACCAGGAGATTGTGGCGTTGGCGGGAGGACACAATCTGGGTCGGTGCCATACCGATCGCAGTGGGTTCGAAGGACCCTGGGTGAACAACCCAACACGATTCTCCAATCAGTTCTTTAAGCTTCTATTAAAGTTGGAGTGGACTCCTCGGAAGTTGGCGAACGGCATGAGCCAGTTCGTATATGAGGACCCGGATGCGGAGGAGGGAGACGAGTTGTTGATGATGCTGCCCACCGATATTGCACTCAAGACGGACCCATCCTTCCGACAGTGGGTGGAGAAGTATGCAGAGGACAAGGACTTGTTCTTTGACCACTTTGCGAAGGTATTCGCGAAGTTGGTCGAGCTGGGTATTCGGCGAGACGAGAAGGGTGTTGTCCTCAACACCGACAATGTCAAGGGAGGTTATATCTCTGCTCCTAAGAAGAGCAACACGCCGACAGGACCACCGAAGAAGCCGAAGGCCGAACCTGTGCGGGCTAGGCTGTAAATACGCAATGGATGTTTGGGAGGATCATGATTTGATATACCATAGAAGGATTTAGAGAATGGGATAGAGACCGAAGCGTGTGTACATTGACTAGAGTAATAAATCTCAAGTTCATTCATAATGAAGAAACGAAGAGGCCCGTCATTTCGAGTAGTTGAGAGAAAGAAGAAAGCAAGGAGAGAGAAAGAAGCGAGGGAGAGACATAAAAGAGAGAAAGGGAAAAAGGCCGGGGGATTCAATGAATGCGGGGAAAGGTCCATGCGCTGACTTTGGCCCGGCCGTCATTGGCCCCCACCGGCATAGCTGGCAACGCGTTCACCTTTGAAACCAGCCCAGTGGCCGTGCTAGGTTACTCCATTCCATCCTTGCTAGTCGGGAGGCTAGAGGTACTAAAGCTGCTCGGTTATTGAGAGAAAGGGTTATTGTGCTGGTATGACCTAGTTCCTTTCCCCTTTTTATTGTTCCCCGGATTTCTGGACCGGGATCCGTTCTCTGAGTAAATAAATGAACTTACCACCGCTGAAGACGGCATTCTACCCATGAAAGTATATCGGACAGTATGTCTTCGTTATTGAATCTGATGCAGTAGTAAGTGCTTTTTGAATTTAGAAAATAGTTGTCTTGTCTATGTTGTATTCTATCTATCATATCTGAAACCCGAACCCAAGCTGTAGGGGGGAGAGTCTCAATCCATCGCTCTTCATTTTTGGTTGGCTAGCATGTCTTCATGGTCGTCTTGCGTCTGGCGGGGCTGCAGGTGAAGACCTCAGTGGCGAGGCCCATGGTGGCCGGGTCTATTCACCCAATACTCCGGATGGGTTGGTGGTAGCTGTGGTTGTTGTCGCGGCGAGGAGGATTGACCCGGGTGTGTCAGCTGCATTTGGTTGGTCATCGCCTGTACGACTTCATAAGAGGGTGGATTGGTGGTCGGAATCCCCGGACTGTAAGCGACTCTCTGTTGAGGCAAGGCTACAGGAGAGGGAGCCAAAGACCCATGGAGAGCTGCATTATGGAGAGGGGGGTGTTGCCGAACAGGACTGGCAGGAGGCACATAATATTCTGGCCTAGTTATATACATCGGCCTGGCCCTAGGAGGCGGTGGCATTGCACCACCTACATACGGTGAAGCTGACATCATGATCGCAGGGGATGGCGTATCTGCTGACATGATCGGTGTGGGGGACATGGACATAATCGCGTATGGATGAGCTGGAACGTAAGGCTGTGCTCGCGCTCTTCTAGGCCTGCTAGGTGCAGCCTGCTCTTGGCGTTGCACCTGGGGTTGTACCTGGGGTTGTCTCTGGGGTTGTACCTGGGGTTGCGCCTGGGGTTGCGTACCTCGGACTAGCATGTCTCGAAGATCTGAATTGGCACATTTAAAGCGTCTCATACTTTCAGGCAGTAAAGGTATCCAAGGATATTGGTTCTGCTGCCGAGGTGGTAGTTCGGGCGGGGCCCAACCAGGACTTTGCTGGAGGAAAAGCTCACCCTGGGAGGCAGACTCTAGCATGCCGCTAACTGCACTCACAGCTACTTGGAGCTCGCCAATACTCGGGTTCATAACCCGCTCGTAGAAGAGCAAGGGGATCTGCTGATTCCTCCAAAAATGCTCAGGCACTTGGTCCGGGCGGGTTTCTGCCATGGGAAGTCCAAGTATGGCTCCGTCGTGCAAATGGCTTTCATACGAACACAGGTTCGTGCAGCGCACCCCACGTTCGGCACCAGTCCACAAGAGGCACAATAAACCTGGTGCTGGTGAGTATATCCCTCCTATCCAGCGGTATGTGACTCTCTGCCCCTCACCAGCATCATCATGATATGATAGGGTAATGTCCTTTGTATGCGACCGTATAGACACATTAGGACCGAGTTCCACTACCGGGCGCATGGGGACGTTATTGAATCGTCTCTCATAGTTAACCGAGTGGTTACATTCGATGCAGGTTCTCTGGCGCTGAGGGTCAAATACCCGAGATAGCACTTCCTCCATACTTACGCCGTTCCGATCAGTCTCGAGCACAGGCGGTGCCAGAGTGGTCAAGCGGGTGCCATCCACAGTGGTTTTGCTATCCCTGGATGACCCACACTCACAGTGCGCAGTAGTCTCTTCATTGTATGAGTACGCGAACTGGTCAAAACTACGCGTAAAAGTGCGCCAGACGGTTCGCATATCCTGAGTAGGCCCCGTGCCCAGTTGAGCATTTTCTGGGAGCAACTTAGCATAGCATTCGACTAGCCCAAGACTCACTTCTCTATCGAGAAAATCCCATTGAGCATCGGTCGCTTCAATGAAGGCTCGCTCAGTAGCTGTGAAGCGATTCTGCCAGCCCGGCTGCTTGCGGTCGATGTTGGTGGACCCGGCATCTAGCAGTCGGCCTGCGATGATAGCACAGCCAATCGCACTTTCGCTGCAGTTCGTGCTAACAGGGCCTCGGCCTCTATAAGACCTGGTATACCGGGGGCGTTGCGGGTTGTCTGAGAAGTGCAGCTCTACCTCAGCTGTTACTGGGTGTAAGCTGTACTGGACATTGTTCATGGTATTTAAGGTGGCGGTCAGCCATTGTCGTGGCATGTCCAACGGGGCAGCAGTCTGATGGCGTTCAAGCTCGTGATAAGCGAATTTCATGACAGCACGTTGCACTGCCTCAGTAACTAACTGAGCATGCTGGGTAGGTAGTGGTTCTGCTCTCCGGAACTGCTGGGATGTAGAAGTTGTGGTGTTAGGGTCACTGACACCTTCGGTGTTCTGTCCACTTGGTCTCCGGCTCTCTGAGAAGCTTTCTCTATGCTGCGTAGCAGGGCTTTCCACTTTTGTAGTATGAGTTGGTGTTCTGCCACCCGAGGAACATTCTTCCATAGGATCCCCGTCATCACGGTCAGAGGTTTCCTCCTCTTCGAGTTCGGTCATTTCATCCTCGACTTCCTGGTCCTCAGGACTGGTTGAAGGGACCCACTCTGTATGTTCGGAATCTTCCGAGCTGTCAGTACTACTTTCAATGTGTTCGCTTTGTTCTTCTTCAGTTTGGTCCCCTTCTGGTGTCGCAAGTTCCAGAAGCTCTTCGTCGAGCCTACCAATACCAAATAGTTGTTTCTCCATAACCTTCACATACTCCTCCGGTAGATCACCTGAAGTCCTAACAGATCCACGGGTCCGTGAGTTTGATGCTTGCAAAACCCTTGGGGGATCAGGAGAACGCCTACTTATGGGTAGGTAATTGTTCAACCCCTGAACACACCCCTGTCTCAGCAATCGAGGGCCGGCGTCCCTTTCCCAGTTGAAGAGTTCTTCTACTGACTTGGGCTGGTGATATTCAGCTTGATTCCAGATGATTTTCACCAGGATAGCCACTTTTGCCCGCCTTGGCTGAAGGGAAGAATGAGAATCAGTGTTATACTTATAACCCCAGCCATGAAAATCCAGCAGCTTGTCGTATACGCCCCTGCCCCCGTTGAGCAGAATATCGGTCAACGTCTTGATGCGTTTCCCGCATAGTTGGTCTGTCTCGGCAGGCTCTTCGAGTTGGTCAACATCGAAGAGCGGATGTCTACACTCGACATATTCAATAGGCTGCGAGGCTGACTCCATTTTGCTTATTGCTGCGAGGACCGTAAGTTCTTTTGCAGAGAGAATTTTTTTTAATGTGAATGAAGACCGGTTACTTGGCTTTGGAAGGAACACAAGGCAGATCAGCTGCTTTCGAGGTGCTAGAAAATGTGAAGAGAGCGATCAATCTGCTTCATACTTATACCCCAGGGAGATCTCATGTTACACAGTGATGAAGGCTCAGATATACTGAGATTCACTGCAATATCCGTTTATTGGGGTGTATTTGCAAGGAGAGAACACTTTAGTTAGGCAAATTGTCAGGTACAGAGTGCAATTTGACGGATTTGGCTGGTATATTCCTTGCAACCAGCCGACGAGAATGTAGGAGAAATCATTCTCAATAGGTGTTTCAGTATAAAGATATGGTCTGTGAGGCATATTCCAAACACACTGGTGATCATATCACGGAAATATTTGCTAACGAGGCACTTAAAAAGCTGAAGATGAGGTGAATCCCGTCGTACCGCGATGTTCTATATCATACATGGCCTCAGGCATAAATCAAATACTACACGGCTGGCATACACGGAATACCGTACCAAAACAACCAGATCACGTGCATAAGACAGTCAAGTGATAATATACCCTATTCCGGTATAGCCCGAAGCACAAGCGAGCCCTGAATCCCACCATACCCGAATAGGCTAGAGCCCAGCTTACCCGATCCCACAACGGGCGAGAGCAAAGTTGGAAGAAGCACTCGCAAGCCCGCCTCGATTTCACCTCCTTCTCATCCCTCTCGCCTGTCGACAATCAATCGCGGTCCTTCGCGCCATCGCCCATCATGTGTACGTGAAAGACCCTGAAATCGAATATTCAACCCTGCATCTTTGATTTCCGTCGCTGTTCGTTTTTTTGCCGGTCATTTTGGGAGGAAATATTCATAAATCGCTGGGGGTTTTTGGAGGAAATTATCATCGCGGATACAGACGGGCAGGAAACAGCGGCGACGGAATCATTGAATTTTTTACTTGCTCCATCATCATCATCATGGCAACAACCGATTTTGCAAGACAGAAAGGCTGACTGCGGTTTCTTCGGGAATTTTTTAGCGCTCGTGTCCGGCGAGAAGACGAACTTCCAGTACATTCTGCGTCTGCTCAACACCAATGTTGACGGCAAGCAGAAGATCATGTACGCCTTGACCCAGATCAAGGGTGTTGGTCGCCGTTACTCCAACTTGGTCTGCAAGAAGGCCGACGTTGACCTCAGCAAGCGGTACGTTTACACTATTACCACACTACATATCTCGATGGATTCGAAATAGGAAGGAGAGGAGTTGGTCGCATGGATGCAACAAGAGGCGGAAATAACAAGCACAAGAGGAGAAGTGGTGAAAGACCAGGGGATACAGAACAGCCAAGTTGACTTTGATATTCTTTACAGCGCTGGTGAACTCACCACCGAAGAGCTCGAGCGTATCGTCACCATCCTCCAGGCCCCCACCCAGTACAAGATCCCCACCTGGTTCCTCAACAGACAGCGCGACATCACCGATGGCAAGGACTCCCAGGTCGTCTCCAACTCCCTCGACAGCAAGCTCCGTGAGGATCTCGAGCGCCTGAAGAAGATCCGCTCCCACCGTGGTCTCCGTCACTACTGGGGTCTCCGTGTCCGCGGTCAGCACACCAAGACCACCGGTCGTCGTGGACGCACCGTCGGTGTCAGCAAGAAGAAGAACTAAAAAAACAATCATCGGGGTCATATCATCTGCGTTTGTTTCTTCGTACTTGCTGGAGTGGATCGTGGGAAGGATGGATTCCTTTTGTGTATGTTGGTGTGGATTTTTTTTAACGAAATCTTCCCTGGGACCGGGAACAATATTAGAAAATGCCGTGTCCGAAATGAAAAGAATCATACCAATATGAATGAATACCAAATCATCCTTTCCTCACATTTCCTTTGTCTGCTGTTTTACGATTTACGAATGTACGGGTCATTCGGTGGCGAATTATGAGTAGGCTCTTATGGCTCGGTTTCTATGGGAGTGGTCTACCTTCTTACTATCGACTGAGACGTCCATACGCCTAGCTGTCGACTCTAAATCAATTTCGTGTTCTACACTACGTACAGACGGTATGGTACTAATCAAATGCGTGTAAATGCGATCGATTCAATCTCGTACGAAGTACAAATGCATAATGCACTATAGTGACAAACTCATAGATACCATGCAACATAAGGCTCGGGATTAGTGGGCATTGACAAGCAACCTCAAACTATCATTAAGAAACATATCTGCAGTGTCACCGAAATGACCAGAAAGTCTATATGCGGTGATAGCACGTCTTTAGAACCATTCACCTCCCAACCAGCGGTTGAAGAACTCGAGACTCGACTCGGGTTGGTCCATCGGGACCATGTGGCCACCACCATAGAGACGCATGAAGGTGAAGTTGCCATGGGACTTGACCTGGCCGATCTTCTTGCCCTTGTGCTCATTCTCAACCACGACCAAGTCCTCCAGCTCAGCGGAGGCATATTCAGCCTGTCCGGGCCACTCAAGGGCTTCAGTCCAGGCCTTGTTGCCCAGCCAGTTGCAGATGAAATCGGCGTCACCAGCGTAGATCAGGACAGGGATCTGCTCCAGGAGTCCCGGAACGAGACGGTGGTAGGGCTTCATCCAGTCACCGTGGAAGAGGAAGTTGCGGTTGATGTCAAAGTTGCACGAGTCGTAGCCGTTGACCTCAGCGCCAACAGCCTCAATGACCTCGGGCTTGTTCAGGTAGTCGCTGACATAGCCCATGGCCGAGTAGCAAAGGTTGGAGCTATCCTCGCACTTACCACGAACATCGTAGACGTTCTGTCCGGTGCGCTGGTAAGGGGCAAGGAGGGCGTTGTTACAGTAGATGGAGGCCGGGACACAAACCCAAGCGCTCTCGGAACTGTAGCAAGACTCAATCATAGACTGGCAGCGAGGAAGGGCGTTGTCCATGGCTTGGCAGGAGCCCTCGTCCAAGACAGCTGGGTAGCCGCCGTCACCACAAGCCATGGGACGGTAGTACTCGTACTGGGTGAGTCCGTCGGTGAGACCGTTGCCAATGAGAACGGACTGCAGGTTGATGTTGCGCTTCTTGTGAGACAGAATCTCCGAAGCGAAGACGGGGATATAGTGACCAGCATAGGATTCACCGGCAATGTGGAAGTCCTGCTTGGCATACTCGGGGAATTGTTTGAAGAAGAGGGTAAGCAAGGCATAGACATCCTTGCCAGCAGCAACCGTGTCACTGACAGCAGAGTTGCTGTAGGAGTAACCGACATTGACAGGCTGGTCAAGGAAGATCACAGACGCGTTGGAGTTCCAAGCGTAGTCATTGTAGACCGGCTGGATCTTCTTGTTGATGCTGCTAGGGCCGAGCTCCATGAAAAGACCGGTGAGGGAAGAGCATCCAGGGCCACCATTCAGCCACAGAACAACAGGGTCGTTCTCGGGGTCATTGCGAGACTCAAAGAACCCTACAGTGCGTTAGATATGAAGAGCATATAAAAGGCGTAGTCTTGAACCGAGGTGGACTTACAGTAGAACAGGTGCTTGTCGTTCTCGTTGTCATCGAGATAACCGGTGTACTGCTTTACACCGGGGTCGATGCCAAGAGAGCTAGGATCGGTCTTCTTGACCCTGAGATCATAGGCTTCCAGCTTGCCATCGACCTCACGCTCCTTCTCACCGTTCTCACCAGTGACCCAGACGCTCTGGACGTCGGAGCCGCGGACGATGTGGTCCCAGTGGTGGTCGGGGCGGCGGTTGTGCTTCTTGGGGAGGGAGAAGAGAGGGTTCTGATCCATGCTCTCCGGGAAGAAACTAGCAACCTCATCCCAGAGCTTACGAGCCTCATCAGAGAGAGACTTCAGCTCCTCCTGGAATGCGTGCAGCGGCTTGGAGAACCCATCGGCACTGTGATCCGCAGGGACCTCGGCCGCATGGTCGGCACCGTGCTTGGCACCGTTACCTCCAAGGACCTGCTGGAAGGGAGGGACGGCCGCAGTGGCCGCTCCAACCAGCATAGCAGCTGGAAGAACTCTCATTGTGCTGAAACCCAAATGGGGTCGGTATGAAAACGAGATGACAATGGGATGAGTAGGTAGAGGATGGGTACCTTGCGGTCTGGAAGGTACGGTACCTGGGCAGGGAGCTTATCAGCACGGGTTATCAAGGGAGGTGGTCAGAGGGCATAGGAGTGCACTTACGGACACAAAAGTATCAAGTTAGAAAAAGCAAGTAGCTCAGCAAATACCAGCTACTGGGTGAACAATGGAAACCCAGAAGAGGATGGAGAGGAAGGAAGGAGAGAGGAGAGAAGAGGAGGTGTACTGGATGGGCTGCAGGCAGGCGATGACGCCTCGATAGCAGGGCCGGAAGGCAGCCAATTACAGGCCGGTGCCTTCCCTTTGCAGAAAGTCACGCGCTGAGTCATGAAGCTGAGTCAGCGCATGGCACGGGACCAGCGTCATTGCGGTTTCCTCCAATCACAGGCCCGTCGGGTGACTGCCTTGGGCTATCAACAGCATTTTTTTCAGCGCATTCAAAACATAATCTCCTCACTGACGCAACTGAAGATCGATCAACTCCAAAATACACCTTGGTTGAGTCCGTCTATACACAAGAGCCTCTTGCTTTGTCGCAGAGGCATCCAGCAACATGCCCATCAACCAACCATCAAATCAGATCAAATTTACCAATGTATCAGTCGTCAGGCTAAAAAAGGGTACGTACTGTTATACATGTGTGACCCTTCATTTGCGATCGTCTTGCGTGGCATGTCTATCAGTTATGTGGGGAGATGATGCGCAAATTCAGGCGTAGAAAAGGAAAACTTCCTGCGAAACTTCCAATCGGCCCCGCAACCCCGCTAACCGTTCAACAAACAGGTAAAAAGCGCTTCGAGCTCGCCTGCTACAAGAACAAACTCCTCGAATATCGCTCCGGTGCAGAGAAGGATCTCGACAATGTTCTCCAAGTTCCCACGATCTTCCTGTCCGTTTCTAAAGCGCAAACAGCCCCATCCGCCGAGTTAACAAAGGCCTTCGGCGCCGACACACCTGCAGATGAGATCCGACAAGAAATCCTACGAAAGGGTGAAGTGCAGGTTGGCGAGCGCGAGCGGAAGGAAATCATCGAACGAGTGGAGAAGGAAGTGTTGGATATTGTATCAGGACGGCTGGTTGATCCTACGACGAAACGAGTCTATACCCCCGGAATGATCTCAAAAGCCTTAGACCAGCTGAGCTCGGCTAGTGGTCAACAATCGCAAACACCCGGCAATGGTGAGACGGATGGGGACAACAGCGAGGAGAGCCGCCCGCGGAAACCGCTCTGGACGGGTGTGACTGCCAACAAGTCCGCGAAGAGTCAAGCGCTTGAGGCCATGAAGGCGCTTATTGCATGGCAGCCTATTCCTGTGATGCGGGCGCGGATGCGTCTCCGCGTTACCTGTCCTGTGTCATTGTTGAAGCAAAGTGTCAAGGGTGGTGCGGCCGGCGGTGCTGGCGCGGGTGGTAAGGAGAAGGAGGCGCCATCCAAGGGCGGCTCCAAGTCCAACAAGAAGGGTGGAAAGGGGTCCAAGAAGGCCCGTCAGCAGGAATCCGAGGATGAGGCGGGCGGTTCTGACGCAGAGTCTGCACCTGCCAAGGGCCCGAGCAATGTCAAGGATAAGATCCTGAGCTACATCGAATCTATCGAGGCTCAGGAGGTCGTCGGCGGAGACGAGTGGGAAGTCATTGGCTTTGCGGAGCCGGGAGCTTTCAAGGGACTGAATGAGTTCGTGGGTAACGAGACCCGGGGCAGAGGACGCGTGGAGGTGCTGGATATGACGGTGACCCATGAAGAGTAAGCTCGGCCGGGAATGCATCTGGCGCAACCATGTACAGCCTGCTATGATTGATGACTAGGAAGGATACCAAAATCATGCCATAAATATGACCATACTACAAGACTAGATCCAAATATTTCATGTTAAAGATATTATATCTTCAAGGGTTATAGTAAAGCCAAGGGTCATTATAAAGGTCCTTCGCACTTGATCGACGCTCCGGTTCCCACTGGAGCATTCTACGAACGAATTCAATAAACAAGCGCTTATCCTCTCCACATAGAAATGGAATCATACTGGAGAAATTGAATTCCTCCGAGGGAACCAACTCAGGGAATTTGAATGCCCCTATAGATGTCCAACAATTAGTGTTTGCGGCCCATCGCAATCAAGTATGACGTACCTTGAGGCGAGAACAAATCGCTGCGTATATGCGGATCACACTTGTTCAAAAATTGTGAAGGAGGAGGCCCCAACAGCCTAATCATCTGGGCGATGTGCGCCTCCCGTGAATATCCCCTTCGTTGGTCGCTGTCGCTATTATGGCATATTCCATCAAATAGCGTCTGATCGGCAAAAAGTTCCCAAAGCTGCATGGAGATAGCTATGAGTATACATCACGACGAAGCATTATCTTCTGACTTACCACCGTCCCTAGATTCCAAATATCAGCACTGTACGACCAACCAGCCTTCAACAGAACCTCAGGGGCGCAGAATGGTTGGGGTTGAATATCATGTTTATGCGGAGTCGATACATCCCCGAAAACAGCAGCACTGAAGTCGGAAATCTTCAGCATGCCTACTCCTTTCTGGAGTGGCCCGAAGTCGCTCCTAGATTCGAATATAGGGCGCCCATTCCGAAGCACATGCGGAGCGGGATGAACTTCCTGCTGGCGGACATAATCTTTGAGGACTGTAGCATCCTCAAACCCAACAAGAAAGTTGTCGGCCTTCAGATCTGCAGTTCAGTCAGTAGGCAAGGCGCTTGTTAGCCAAAGGACAGGGGCGATCATTTACCTGTATGTATGACATGACATTCAGAATGTAGGAAATCCAGGCCACACAGCAAAACCCTCAAGAAGGCTTTGAGAACTTGCGGAGGAACTCCATGGCTTCCAAGATGTCGTCCTAGAAGCCAGAGCGGCTCCCTTAATGGCTCAAATACCAAGCAGAGATGGTCTCCAAGGATGCCTTGTATTTGAAACGAATCTTGAACCAGTCTGACATACCCACGGCCTTCGTGCTCAGACCGCAGTCCGGAGATACGATGCGATATTTGTAGTTCATCTTCCGCGGCCTTCCTCTCCTCAGCACCAGAGTTCGTGATCTTTAACGTTACGTATCTCGTCGATTGCCAGGCCCAGCTTTACGGTATTAGGGGGGTTTGTAACACGAATCGGCATGTCTCACTGACCGGGATATATCTTTTGCCAACCAAGTAGTAGAATTAGCACCCCATCCCAGTTTAGAAATAATGCGATATTTCCCAACGGTCTCTCCAATCCGGGCTGGATAATACTTCCTAGGGTCGTAGCCCGGACTTCGCTCCTCTTCTATAGGCGAAGTCGGGAGTATGGCTGGAGAGGATGATGACATGCTGGATTTGGAGTACAGGGGACGGAGATATCTACTCAAATGCCGGGAAACCAGAGTCATCGTGTGAAATTAGGGTTAAGTAGATTAGAGCAAGAGACAGAACAGAAGGAAACATGTAGCCATCGGCCTAATGTACCGGAAGGGTAAGTACCATTTTCCGACCGCATATATGCAAACTACAAGTATGCTGAGCAAGAGTGTAGACTACTTGTAAGTATCCATCAGCTGGGCCATACCATCAATAGTTACCCAACTAGCTACATTATGGGTACAGATTGACTTCGTCAGCGCAGAAGCAAGGACCAGCAGGTAACTGAGTTGGAAGAGAGATAAGCAATCTTAGGTACATGCATATATATTTCTATCACATTTCGATAGACTTATCTTGAGATTGAGTTGTATGATTAGTTTTCGAGCTTTATTGAAGTAATACTAGTAACATTAACTTTTTATACTAGTAGTGTGATGTCTACCTAGTTAGGTATAGTAGTAAGTAGCCGTAGAGATATATACTACCATCAGAACTGCACTAGTACTTACCATCATACGACCAACTAGTAGTACTCGACAATAGTAGTAATATCCAAAGAAGTAAAACAAAGCCTCTGCACCCCAGAGGCAACTAACATTCATAATCTAGTCTAGTCCAGCGATCTGAGCAGCGATACTAATGCACGATCACCATCCACTCACCCACCCACTGCACAGATTACCATCCCTCACCCCTCCTCCCTCATCCTGCCAGCCTCCTCACCCTCACCCTCATATGCATCAAAACCAATACAAACTATACAAGTGAGAAAGTAAAAAAAAAAAAAAAAAATAATAATAACAACCAAGCAAAGTAAAAGTTACATCTACAGCTTAGTAGAAGAAGAAAAAGAAGAAGCACAACAAGAAGCAAAGCAAGCAACAGCAAAAGCCCCCCGATCCGACCATCCCGATCGGACCCGAACACAACACCCGGACGGACAACTACGGGCAGAGTACAAACAGCCCCCTCCAAGTCCCAAGTCCAAACACACTATTAACAGATCAAATCAAACTAGTGCTTTGCGGCACCGTCGATCAAACCGGTCAATTTACTCCGTAGTAAGAAAAGAAAAGTAAACCTTACTCTTAAAAAAAATAAAAAAGAAGAAGGAAAGTCAAAAGTCAAAATTCAAAGTTGGCTGAAGTATCCGACCGATGATCGCAGTCTGGAATGTCTTGGCGGAGGTAAAATAAATCATTTCCCCTGCTGTTGCTTTTGAACCCTGATTGAGTGAACTCTGATTGACTGACACAGATGCGCGTGTGGCGCGGACTAGGAGGGATGATTGACGAGGCTTATTGTCAATAGTGGCTTGATTTATGGGGGTACTTTTCTGATTACTATTGCTTATTACTTTATTGCTTTTCTGGGAGTGAGGCGAGGTGGCTCACTACTCGCTACTGTAATCTACTTCTTCCGAACACTACGCTATTTCATGGGTCTTTATTATTATTTCTTCATTGTGTTACCTTACAGTTAGGTACATTAAGTACAAGTTGGGTCAGTGGCCGGTGGGTGAATCCTCGGTGCTAGTAGTAGGCACCCACTAAGGCACCAGCACACATTACGGGTTGGGAAAACCAAGCAACTCAGTTGGATGGGTATACGCTTAAACGCAATGCACGAAGCACTCAAGCACAAAACAGACGCTTTTCGAACGTTGCTCGTTTCATGCGTGGAAGGGACCGACTCCGTCCAGGGCAGATGCAATAAATCCCAGACGCCCCTCACGCCGGAATTGCATATGTAGACTGCGTCAGCCGTCGGAAAATGGCAGCCTTGAACACGACCGGGTATTCAGTGCCGCCTTCTGCGGATCGCGGCTGGGGGGTTCGAAGAAGGTAAGATGCTCACACCTGTGTCGCATAGTAGATGTTAAAAGGAGAAAGGTGGAAATGGATGGCGGAGTCGGAAATAGAAAGGAAAGGGACCATTGTCGATAGGGTCGGTATCCCTATTGAGTTGGCATCACGTGATGTGGGAGGAAGCGAAGATCTTGCCGGAAGTCGGAGCGAATTTAAAAAAAGGTACTATGAGCAGATCTGCACGGCGTTCAACGCCCGTGTCAGCTCCTCCGGTGAGAATGGCATGTAACACCCCTTGGGCGACAAGGGGGGCGGCGAAATCGCTCGTACAGCCGGGGAAGTGTAGCGGATCGTTTCTTTCAGCTGGGCGATCGGGTCAACCTGGTCGAAGTCGGCAAACAGAGTCATCAGGGACTCGCTGTAGCTTTCAGGCTCCACGGCTGTGGATGACGACGAGCCACTCTCTCCTTGTCGGCCGCAGGCGTATTCGTCATGGTGAACCGAAGGGGAATCTGGTGATTGGTCAGATGGCTAATCGTTACACATGGCATATTTTATGATAGGTCCAGGGCTGGACAACAACCAAAAGGGCTGACGAAAGGAAGTATCCCACATACCAACTGTCACATCTACTTCGGGTCGTACTGTTCGAATCTGATCGGGGGCGAGGTCGTCGGCGGCGTCTTCTTCGTACCGCGCTCTCATGAAATCCGGTATGGACGCACAGGGGGAGAGGCTGAGATCGGGTGTACGCGGACGTTCCGCTTGGGCGTCCCCAAACGACCATGCTGCAAGTTTCCGTTGATGTTCCTTGTCGAAAGGGCCCTTGAATTTCGACCGAGGGATTTCGCCGCGTTTGTAGTATTCGATCTTGATTCCATTGCCCTTGCCCTTGGACGAGGACCCACTGCTGGACCGGCGGAACACCCTCCGCACCTTTTCTCGGAAACTCATGTTGACCGGGGTGGAAAAGCCAGGCGATATGATGGTGTATGGTGTCGATGTGTGTGTGGAAGATCGTTGTGATAGGAGGGGTTATGCGTTCAACCGTCGACTCAAGTTCCTCAATGTTGCATACCTTTCCCGGGGAGGGAATGGACGCGAGGGAGGGTGTGCAAGCACAGACGACAATCGAGTAGGTCCAGAAACCCTCGTATCATCGTTTGCCTAGACCAAGTGTGGGGTGGAGAGGAGAGGGGGTGGAGGGGAGAAGAGGGGAGAGTAGAAGAAAGGAAGAACGAAGGAAGGAAGAAAGAAAGAAGAGGGGAGAGTAGATAGTGAAGTAAGTAAGAGAGAGAGACGAGAGAGAGGAAGGAAGGGCTAGACTAAAGGGTAACTAAGGGAAGAAAGAGATATGATGGGGATTATGTCAAGGGACTAATGGAGCAGCAGTCCCAGATAGTTAGAGAGACAGCACGACTAACTGGGAGGAGTAATCGGAATCAGCGTCCATACCTATGATACAATGCGATGGGGAATTAATTACTCGTAGTTCGCAGTGGACGGGATCTGATTGGAACGAGCGGTGCGAGGCACCATGCCGTTAGTTCCATACCACCACGACGGGGCTCCATCCAACGGAGTAAACGGAGTAAACCATTCCCAGAATGCACTGGGGCAGCCATTGACTTACCGGCTGGTGACTTATCATGGCTCGCTTGACCTTACTTTTTGCTCTGCACAGGCCAAGGTAACCTAACCTGACCCCACGGCTCTGGGAGGGTAAGAGGAAGAGAGCCGGTAACTGGGTAAGCCGCGATTACCTGCGGCCAAATCCGAGGCGTGAACGAGAAACAAACGCCGAACGTGGAGGATCCACCGGGGGGGTTTGAGCCAGGAAGGAGGAAGGGTTGTGCGTGAATTTCCCAAGCTTAGCCTGATTGTTCTTAGCCGGAAGACAGAATGGGGGAATGAGACTCGGAGTGTAGCAGTTTGTGCAGTAGTTGAGTTAATTATTATAAGTCTTGGGGTTTTATGTCACTCGACGAAGGAAGATATGCTAGATCATAAAATTCCATGCTTTGAGGGATAATAGTAAAATAACTTATAAGAGTGGAAAGACAAAGAAAATGACTGACAGGATGGCAAAGAAAGTCTTCATCGTCATCATCACCAGTCAATTTGTTCCCCCCTCCCCTCCTTAAGCGGGACACAACCCAAACATGACATTTTTCGTTAAGCATTTTCCATAACGAAATATTTCCCTCATTCTCATTCTTTTCCGCGGCGCTTCTGCAAACCCGGTCATGGAGTGCCGAGTCCCGATTCTGCCTTTCCCAGTTAGCCCAGAGCTGACTAACCCCTTGATTCTGAACCGTACTGTAAACTTGCCCCCCTCCTTCGGTGTGGCCCTCTTCTTACTTACCTTCCAATCAAACGTCCATCGGAGGAGGTTCACCGTCGGGTTGCATCGCCAGAACAAGGTACTACCTTAAGCCCAAATCAGTCCTATCTAAACCATGGTTTTGGATGCGTTAATCTCCAGACCAATTTCCGCATTACGAGTGGTCGGGAAGTTACGCCAACCCGGCCGAAAAGAAGTCAGAGGGTGGTAGGTAGTAGTAAAACTCTGGGTTCTCTTTTCCCACCACTCTCAGGTTAACTTACACTTTCCCCCAACATGTTGCAGGGCTGGCCGGCCAGCCGACGGACTGGGCTGGGCTTCGTGTAAGATTGCTGCAGAAGACAGGTGTATATCACGGTGTACTATCGCCCAGCCGGCAGGACTTGCATGATGGTGTGTGAGTAAGTGCGTGTGTGGCAATGGCAAAAAGATCAAGCAAGGTATCTGTCGTCTGTCTCTTGCTGTCGTGGTCGTGCTGCACCGAACGATTCCAGAAACACAGCCAAGACGGTCCGATCTACGTGCCACCACCGACCGACTCGAGTCAAGCTGCATCTTGTTCTTCCCATCGTAGCGATCGGAATGTAACCCTGCGACTTCCCCGGCATCATTCATCATTCGTTCCCTCATGGAGGCTGGAATCTGGATGCTTCTTTCTGTTTGCTGTTGGATGTAGATAGGCTGGGGGGGCGGCGCCAGATGACTTGGTAGTAACTATCCCACGTCAGTCGCCGGAACCGAGAACGGTGCGGTGCCACTGGGACCGAAGTTTCCCATTCTCAGACAAGTAACTAGGACGAACACAGTAGCAAACGGTTTGACTAATGAGATAAAGAACCACCCATGGACGATAAGTAATTGCACGAATGATATCGCTGGCATAATCGTAGATTCCGACTGCCCCGCTGGAGGTGGTTCGGAGTCGCCCCCACTCGGCACGGTACTTCCGGTGACCAAAACGGTGATCTCTGGGTCATATAGCAAATTATCACAGCCATCTTTCATCAAATAGGCCTGCTGGCCCAATGGTAAGGCGCTTGACTACGGATCAAGAGATTGCAGGTTCGAGTCCTGCGTAGGTCATTCTTTTTTCCCCCTTCATTACTATACCATCCAGGGTATGCCCAAATGCCTACCCACTTGATATATCTTTTTCTTTCTTCTGCCATCGTCAGGCACGCAGTATATGAAATTGTACAGCATAACCCAACAACGAACTGAAACTTAAAAAATTGTGTGAGACGCAAGGGGTTCACCCCCAAACCTGGCACGTTGTTGGGCCGTCAACCAGACGCTCGGCGTGGCATTGCAACCACCACCATGAAGTAACTAACTTACGCCCTCCCTTCCATGATGTCATCATGGCAGCGCACTCACCCCGGGTTTTGCCTCCCTGCCCCAGTCATGATTCTTCCGTCAAGTCGCCCGTAAATTTCTTCGGGCATGTATACATGTTACATACGTCGTCCCCGATAGTTGGGGCGTAGAGGAAAGAAGTTGACGATTTGGCCACTTGTCATCGGTAAGGGATACTAACTAAAGTAGTGGCCACCTTGCGCTGCCGGTTTGGGCGGCCGTCTCAGCTCGAGCGACTTAATATATACTAGACGTTTCTGTGATAAGTTGTGTCATATTGAGGCACGTGATAGTTACTTGTGTTGGACTGTGTAGAAAGCTAACGCTATACAAGTGTACAGTGTCTATTTCAAGCAGATGGCTAACTAGGTCTTGGCTTTTACTACTGAATTGGTTAAGGACACGACGACGGCTGGCATGTCGACCGGAAACGGTTCCTAAACCTTTCATTCCCTGTCCGGGTTTGGCCGATCCTGGACCCGACGGCATGCCTCATGATGCAATCGACCGATCGAACACGGGCGCGGGTGTCACCGTACCTTGTGCTTCTACAAAGTACCTACAGTAATATAATAGGAGTGATTGATTGTAGAACTGTATAGTGTAGCAGCAGACTCAACTTTGTGGTTTGATTAGTATCCTGATAGTTTGGTTAGTGGTCAATAGATATCCTGCAAGTTCGACCTCTCATTAATTGGCTATATAATAAGCCAATGCAATGCATAAAGGCATTGTTCCTCCATACGTATGTAGTAACTCCGGTCAAGTGAGACCTTGCCTTGTGCGGACGGCTCGCCTCTCGGATAAACTCAGGTCCCGTCTAAGCGGGATGGGATCGTCTGCAAGCTTGAGAATTAGTCCGCTTAACATGGCTTGTTAAGCCCCAAGCTGCAGGTACAGTTCCGACTCGCCGGAATCAGGGGGGATGTGCGCCAGCTCCAGCTGCCATACTGCTTGCTTGACACTCAATCGCTTCGTAATTGCCATTCCTGCCATTCCTGTAGAAGCCGCAAGCAGCGCATGAGCTGGGTTCGGTCTGGTGCAGAATAGCAACTGCCATCATGGCTGGCCAACGTGATTGTTGTCTCATTTGTAGTCATGACTGAGAGCAGGGTATGTTGTTGAAAGGAGATGAAGAAGAAGGAGATTTGTAGGGAGTCAAGCCGAGCCCATTAAACATCTGCAACCCTCATCCACGCGCAATTCAACCCATATTTGGATCCGCGTGCACTGTGCCCCTTCCAATCTTACCCTGCTGTCCCCTTCGACACGACCCCATGTGACCGCGGCGTGACTTTCGCCCTCGTTTGGATTCACCCGCTCCCACAAGCATTCATTCACAGATTGTTCCTGTGTGACTGGCACCAGCTCAACTACACCACGCGCTACGGGTTTACCTTTGAATTGCACTGGTCGCGTGCAGCTTGAAACCAATCCAAGCGCCGGTGGTTCAGTGTTACCCGCAAATTAATTGCACCTTGACCCGGGCCCTCCACGGATTAACGTTCCCCGAATCGATTTAGGCAATCGGAAAGGGCCACAGGGCAACATACCAGACCAGCCCGCCCCTAACTTCCCACTTCATCTGCCGTTGGTTCTTAATCCCCATTCTCGGAATCGCACGACCTCGACGTTTCGCATCCACGATTCGTGTCCATTCCGTTCGCACAGACTGTAGGTTTTGTCCACCCACTGCTGCATTGAATCGTTGTCGTCATCGCCAGTGCACTAACATAATTGTTACTGCACAGGATAATCCATCACAATGCCTAAGAAAGGAGGAAAGAAGAACAAGGGCAAGAAGAGCGGCGGTGCTGCCGCTGCCGCGAAGAAAGCAGTCGATGCCCCCAACAATGTGTGAGTAGGACTCAATCGCACCCGCATTGTGCTGTTGTTTCGTCATCGCAGGCTTGTTTCGCACAATGACACTGACATTTTTCTCTCCGGAACAGTGTACCAGCCAACGAGGTCGAGGAAACAGTCCCCAAGAGCGACAGTGAGCTCGAAGCTGTCGCTACCGAGGCAGGCGTCACTGACACCACTGCGCCTGAGGCTGTCGTCCCCGAAACAGTTACCAAGGACGAAAGCGAAGTTGAAGCCGTCGCTGCCGAGACAGCTCCTGCAGTGACTGCGGCACCCGTGGCCACAGTTACTGACACCGCCGCCCCGGTCCCCGCGCCTGCCCCTCCGGTCAAATTCACGGAGGAGGCCTCAAACGCAGTCAATACCGCGTTTCCCAAGATAAACGATGGCATCGTAGAGGACGCTGCGCAGCAGACGAAGACTGCTCAGGCGGAGACAGTGGAGGAGGGCACGAGTAAGTAACCCAATGGGTGCGCATTTGCGCAGGGCTGGTAGTTTGCTGACAACGTTCATCACCAGCTGTACTACCTTCCACCTCCACCCTTGAAGCTTCCAATGCGGATACCACAACCCTGCCTGTGAGAACCAGCACCCTCGAGCCCGAGACCGCCGATGCCCACGTGAAGCGCCCCTACGAGAGCAGCATCACTACCAAGGAGGATGACCACAAGCCCCACAAGATGCCCAAGGTGGAAGATGAACCCGTCATTGCCACCGAGAAGGCAGCAGCCGCAGATACTGTTCCGGCTCCTACTGGCACCATCGTGCAGCCACAGGTTGTCCCGGGGCTTGGTGCTGGCTCCGCTGATAAGGCGTCGAAGGACTTGGAAGTTGCCGGACTTGCCGCGACGGACAAGGATGCTGGAGCTGCGTCCAGCACGACGGTACCTCAGACTACCGAGGCCGTCCCGGCCAAGGTTACCGAAGCTCCGTCCAGCGCGGCCGCTGACACGACCGCTGTCGCCCCAGTGGAAGCTTCTACCAAGCCTGAGACTGCTGCAGCCATCGCTCCCTCTGAAGTGCCTGAGAGTACTGGCAGCGCCAAGCAGACGACCGAGGTGACACAGCCGGAGCCAGCGACGGCCACCAAGGCCCCGACCGCAGCCGCAAACAGCGAGCCTATTGCGGTTGTTCCCAGCACCATCATCAGACCCTCTGGACGTGACAGCAAAGCAGCGGATAAGACTGTGGAGGACACCACTGCTGCACCCACGGCCACTGAGGCTGAACAGCCCCTGAAGGTTGCGGAAGACAAGGAGCAGGCGACCAAGGCACCAGAGACTTCCAAGCGCCTCAGCGCTGTCCCCTCTACGATCAAGGACACGAAGCCCCAGGAGGCCCAGAACACCGAGACCTCGGCCACCCAGGGAGTTTCGGCTGTTCAGAAAGAGGAAGGCGCTGCTGCCCAGAAGGCCGAGGAGGTCAAGTCGGAGCCTCAGGCGGAAGGCACCTCTGCTGCTAAGCCCGAAGCCGCTCAAGCCGGACAAGAGACCCAGCAAGCGGGCGCCGCTGCCCCGAAGGCTGAGGAAGGCAAGACGAGCGTTGAGCAGGCCAAGGATACGGCCAAGGGCGAGGCCGTCAAGCCCCAGGAGACTGCCAAGTCGGAAAGCAGCAAGGCCGAGAAGCGCAAGAGCGGACTTTTCGCCTGGCTCAAGCGCAAGATCAAGGGCGAGAAGAACTAGAGCTCTGCCTTGTTTCTCTGTGCTTTTCCTGCCGGAGGTGTTTTCCGGAATGAACTTTTGGCTCCTTTGGCGAGTGGTTGCCGGCCCAGGAGCCCATATTGCTGATACCCCAACATGGATGATTGCATGGAGTGATGGATATTAAAAAAGCGAAACAAAAAACCCAATAAAAATTTGGAAATGGAAAAGAAAAAGAAGAATCTAAAAAAAAAAAAAAAAATCCAGGCTAGGCAGAAAGATACCAGAGATAACATAACGCCTTAGGATGATGATGGATGGCGGGTGTACGATATGAATGGCCAGGACAGGATACCACCAGGGATAGGATTGCTTGATTGATTGCTTGATTGGGCTGGGCTGGGCTTTCTGACTGGGATGCTGCAAAGCGCTATTTTGTATTTCGGACGGACGTATGGTTCATGTTCACGTTCACGTTCATGTTAATGTTCATGTTCATCTGGGCTGGCTGCATGGGCCGAGACTGGGACGAAGTGTATGTAATTGGCTTAATGGTAATGGAGGGGAAATATGATGATTTTGATTATTGTTTTTGATGTGGTGATTCCGGAGGAGACCGGGATACTTCTTCATCTTTTTATTAGTGAGCGATGTAGACGTCTAGTAAGTGCTGGGTGATGGCTGGGAGCTGCCAACCTGGGCACTTGGCGAAGCTATTCCAAAGAGTGGATAGTTGCCAAAAAGGACAACACATCACGGCAATTCACCGCCATTTGCAGCGACGAGGATGTCGGCAGTGGTTATCGGATTTTAATTAATTATTACGAGGGACAAACCCGAATCTCTTTGGGTTTAGTTGGGACCACCAGGAAAAGAATTCCCCCATCACATCTCTTCCTCTTCTTCCACTGCTTCCACCTCTTTTAACCGACTCCCTCAATAGCTTCCTTTCAAATTCGCCACTATTTTCTGGGCGAGTTTGTCTTCTCTCCACCACAGCCGCTATCTCTTTTCTTTTCTATTCTGATGATGTTCTGATGATCCTTTCCAAGGCCTTCCAAGAAAGGGGATACTTCGATCGGCTAGTCAGCGATGATATCACTTACCTTGGCCGATCCCTCCGTCAGCCCCTCCACTTGCCGCCCCACGATGAGGGAATTCGCGCCTCCCTTTCGTCCTCGTCCTCCCCTCTTTCGGGACTTTTGGGTGAATCAGTCTCCATCCTGACTCCATTCTCATCGTGGCTGAGACAATTCCCACCGGTTGCCGACCGATCCAGGCCAAGCTTTCCTTAAGCTTTAGCGCCGTGTCCCTGGTCACTGTCTGATGATTCGCCCATCCGATCACACGAGGGAGGGGTCCCAAACCTCGATCCCCACTCCTTCGTCCCTCCGTCACTGGCGATGGGCGTCTCCAGCACTAGTCTGGGATTTAGGACTGTGTCTGAGCTACAGGAAAGGGGCTCCATGAGTGGCTGCCACCTCTCGGGGCTGAGGACAACAGCCAACGAGTGGCTGTTCCCTCCTCCCGTGTTGTGTGAGCTGACGGATGTTGCGGCAGGCCAGAACAGGGAGCAGGGGGGACAGTTTCAATGAGCTAACTGGATTGACGGCCGTTGGCTGATCGTGGAAGCCTGCTGTTGCGCCCCTCTTTTCTCTTATTTACATCACTGCGCTCCCCCTTTTCCTGTCGCTGTTGTCTAGCATCGCTTTCTTCTCTCTTCTTCCTATTTATCCACATTTACACATCTGATCCGGCACAATGGTCCATCTTGCTCAGGTTAAGCGCGACCGTGATGTCGAGAAGACCGCTGAAGGGGTCGACTCCATCCAGCTTGAGGACGATGCCTTCTACTCCAGTGTCTACGGCACTCGTTTCGCTACGGAGCAGCTGCCCTCGACGGAGATGCCGGAGAGGGAGATGCCTCGCGAGGTGGCCTACCGTATGATCAAGGATGAGCTCAGTCTGGATGGAAACCCCATGCTCAAGTAGGTTCGGTCGATAGCAGGACATGGCACAAGGCTAATATCATTACAGCCTTGCGAGTTTCGTGACGACCTACATGGTATGTGTTCTGCTTGTAAATGCCCAAGACAATGCTAATTCGAGTAGGAGGAGGAAGTTGAGAAGCTCATGACCGAGTCCTTCAGCAAGAACTTCATCGATTACGAGGAATACCCCCAGTCCGCCGAGATCCAGAACCGCTGTGTGAACATGATTGCCCGTCTGTTCAACGCTCCCACCGACAGTGATGATGAACACCCCATGGGTACCTCTACCATCGGTTCCTCTGAGGCCATCATGCTGGGCACCTTGGCCATGAAGAGACGGTGGCAGAACAAGCGCAAGGCGGAGGGCAAGGATGCCTCCAGGCCCAACATTGTCATGAACAGTGCCGTCCAGGTGTGCTGGGAGAAGGCCGCCCGCTACTTCGATGTTGAGGAGCGCTACGTCTACTGCACGGAGGATCGCTACGTGATTGACCCCAAGCAGGCCGTGGATCTGGTGGACGAGAACACCATTGGTATCTGCGCCATCCTGGGCACCACCTACACCGGTGAGTACGAGGACGTCAAGGCCATCAACGACCTCCTCGTCGAGCGGGGCATTGACTGCCCCATCCACGTTGATGCCGCCAGTGGTGGTTTCGTCGCTCCCTTCGTTGCCCCCAACCTGGAGTGGGACTTCCGTCTGTCCAAGGTGGTGTCCATCAACGTGTCTGGTCACAAGTACGGACTGGTGTACCCCGGTGTTGGTTGGGTCGTCTGGCGCTCGCCCGAGTACCTGCCCAAGGAGCTGATCTTCAACATCAACTACCTGGGAGCCGAGCAGGCCAGCTTCACGCTGAACTTCTCCAAGGGCGCGTCGCAGGTCATTGGACAGTACTACCAGATGATCCGACTGGGCAAGCGGGGCTACCGGTCGATCATGACGAACATCACACGCACTGCCGACTACTTAGCCGAGCAGCTGGAGCAGCTGGGCTTTGTGATCATGAGCGAGCGTGGCGGCAAGGGCCTGCCGCTGGTGGCGTTCCGGCTGCCGGCGGACCGCGACTCGGAGCAGTTTGACGAATTTGCGCTGGCGCACCAGCTGCGTGAGCGCGGGTGGATCGTGCCGGCGTACACGATGGCGCCCAACAGTAACTCGCTGAAGCTGATGCGGGTGGTGGTGCGCGAGGACTTTAGCAAGAACCGGTGTGATGCGCTGCTGGCGGACATTAAGCTGGCCTTGAAGACGCTCAGCGACATGGACAAGGCGATGTTGGAGCGGTACACTCAGTAAGTTTCCTGGATGAGTGAAAACGAGAGTATTTGCTAACGAAAGTAGTCATGTCCGGGTGCACTCGACCAACTCGCACAAGTCTAAGCATGTGCACCCTCACTACAAGAACGAGACCCATTCCTTGCAGGGCAAGCATGGAAAGACCCACGGTGTGTGTTAGAGTAGAGTTTGTTAGATGACAGTTGGAAGATGGTGGACATGGACTGTATATGAGGCATTGGACATAACACGGATACAATGATGCTAGACATCTCCGATACATGAATGCGAATGAAATAAGACGTTCACAGTGTTGACGGTGGATCTCCCATGCTACTTAGTACTTACTAGTAAAGGTGAAACGTGGAGGCGAGGCTTTGGACTGCAGCTAATAGGCGACCGTCAGCACCAGCCTTGTACTATCAAGTAGTTGTTTGGCCTCGAGTCCAATGGCTGTGCAATTTAGCCCGCCTTGGGGCCGCCCGGACCCAATGGCTCACTTTTCTTTATTGAATCCCATCTCATCCTGCATTGGACTATCTCTCTCCCCTCTTCCTCTTCCTTTTCTTCCTTCTTTTCTCTCCGTCTTACTTATTTTTTTTATCCCCTTCCTCTCTTCCCCCTTCCCTCCTCTCCCATCACTCCTCTCTCCCTCACCCTTCTCCATGCCCCTCTTTCGCCGTAAGCACAAGCCGTCTGCTGCCGCGTCTGCATTCCGATCTGTCGAGCATCTGCCCGCTGCCCCTGGCGTCTACCCCGACGACGATCTCGACCGTCGTTTCTCCGTCTCCACCTCCCGCGAGCGACTCCCTCCATTGCCTGTCACTTCATCCTCCACCAACACCACCACCAACACCACCTCCCCGCCTTCTTCCACTGCTGTCAACACCACCAACACCATCGCTTCTACTTCCATCTCCACCACGCCCGGTGCCTCTCCGCAACTCTATCAACACGATAATAATACCCAGGAATTCTCCACCCATCCCCTGCGTCGTTCCAAAAGCCAGCGTCATACCAGCCCGCGAGGCAACAATAGTAACGACAACACTCCGGTACGGCCAGCGTCCCCTGCACCTATCCTCGATGCTGACCCTCTCAATCAGTCGTGGCCGCTGCCACCCGAGCCACTACAACCCGTCGAGCCAGAACCTCGCAAATCCCGACGCAGTCTCTTCTCGCTTCACTCGTCTGCAGCCGCGCGCGACCAGTCCGGAATTCTGCAGCGCAGCCGGTCGGTCAAAAAAATCTCCACGGGTCGATCCTCCAAACAACAGCGACCGTTGTCCATAGACACTACGTCCGAACGCCGCCCGGGAACCTCTTGGTCGAGAGAGCATGAATTAGACGCCCCGTGGCCCAAGGTTCCTCAAGCCCGTCGACCCCAACAACCGCCGCAACAACAACCGCAGCAGCAGCAGCAACCGCCGGCGTCAATTCAGGGTCAGGCACCTCAGCCTCCGCCCCAATCACAAACTTCGACGCCGTCCCATACTCCTGCAGAATCTCCGGTTCAGCCTCCGCGGAACCACCACCCTCAAGCACAACAGCAGCCAGCGAGTCGATCACCCATGCCGCAGAACACAGGTCCGACGCCGACGCTCGACACCCGACCTCCTCGTTCACCGCATCCTTCCGTCCAACGCTCCAATACCGACAGCGGCCTGCTGGAACATCTGACTCGCCCGTCACCGGTGGAGCCGTCCCGACAGCCCGCTGACTTGGCCCCAACACCGCCCCAACTGGACCCCACGGTCGGCCCTCGACCTTCTTCCCGCCAATCCCTTGGGCCCCCTTCACCATTACGCCCACTCCCCGTTCATCCAGACACGGTTGCCAGTGGCATGCCCGACCGTCCATCCGCGCCCCCAGGACAGTCTCCTGTCCCTGGGCATTCCCCTTATCCGGAAGCTGGCTTCCGGAACAATACCGCGTCGACGCCAGAGCAGGGCCGGAACACGCCCACTTCGCGTGATAGCCGACGTGATCGCGAGGATGCCGAGATAGATGTGCGGGCTTTAGTCCAGAAGCATGATGAACTTCGTAAGTAGCTGTTGCCAGCGCTCTGGAGGTACCATCGCTAATCAAATGCAGAGGCCAAATACTCCAAGGTTAAGCGTTACTACTTCGAAAAGGAAGCGCAGGTACAGCACCTTCAGAATACCGTAGCACACCAACGTATGGCCGTGTCCCGCACTGTGTTGGATGACAACGAGTATGCCAATCGGTTCGGTCGACTGGACGGTGCGATCAAAGATCTAGCCTTTTCCATCCGCAAGGACTGGGCGACGCTGCCCTCCTGGCTGAACGGGTTTGTTAATGACGACGCACACACCACGGGCACCAAAGAAATGACCGCGATCGGCCGGGCGGTGGTGAGCCGGTGGTTAGTCGAGGAACTGTTCGAGCGCTACTTCCACCCAGCCTTGGAGCCCACCTTCAGCCGACAGCTGAAAAGCATCGAGATGAACCTGCGACGACAGCAAGCGCAGCCGTCTACAGAAGAAGACAAGGAGAACGCGATCGCGCGCATCTCCAACTGGCGGCGCACCACACTGGACGGGCTCACAAACCTGCAGGGTCCGCAGGCGGACGAGTACCGGGCCCAGCTCATCGACCGACTGATCACCAGCCTGGTAGCGACGCTGGTAGCACACTTGCACGACCCGCCGCCACCGGGGCTGGACAACGGGGCGCGCATGATCGTGGAGAACGCCGTGGGCATTGCCGAGAAGATCCCGCTGGAGTCGCGCGACATTTGCGTCGAGTACATCCTCCCAGGCACAGTCGTCCAGGAGGGTACCATGAAGGTCGAGACGGGGCTGCCACCACTGACCCATGTGCGGACCGAGTCGGGTGGCTCCGCTGAGCAGGAGCGGGCAGAGGGCCCAGACGAGACAGAGGGAGGCGACCCTGGACCGCCGCAGCGGGAGCAGCGCATGCGGTCGGTGTTCAGCTCGTTGATGGGACGGCGTCCAGGACCGTCCGCACCAGCCGGGGAGACTCGAGAGGAGCGCGAGCGCGGACCGGGACGTATCCGATTTGCGTCATTTGTGACGGCGGAAGTGAGAGGAAAAGGACCGATGAATGTATTGGTGAAGGCGCCTGTATATGTAGAGTGATGTTCCTGCTACATACACACAAGTTACGATAGAAAATATCAAAGAATGATATGATGTGATGACATGATGCATTATTAGTAGGTAGTACATTAACCAACCCATCCATCCAATCCCACCACCATTCACAATATTAGTCTATTCTATGCCAGCATATACAGCATACATACCCATAGCGGAAGAACAATCAAACAAGTCAATGCACGCAAGCATGCAACACACCACACCACACCACACCACCATCTGTGTCCAGCACATCCATGATCTCACATAATACACCAGGTACTACAGTGGTAAATCTATCTTACTACTCATAATAAATCCCAACCCCAACCCCAATCCCAAAGGAATCATGTACTATAAACACCCAAACCACCATCTCCTCTTCCTCTCCACCTCATCCGCATCCTTCGGAATCGAGTCCAAATAAACAACCACCCCCAACACCTCCAACAGAAACCTCTCCCGATACGCCACAGCCCGGACTACATTCCCATCCAAATACTCGTTCATTTTCCGGAGGAGGATGTCGCTGTCGTTGTGCCGGGCTAGGGTGAGGAAGTCGTCAGCTGTGAGGGAGACTTCCTCCACTGATTCTTCTTTTTTTCTTTCTTCTGCTTCAAGAGTATTATTTTCCTCGTTTGGTTTTTCGTTATTGGTGTTGGCGTCGTTAGTCTTCCCTCCCGGGGAAGTAGTGGATGTGGATGTTATAATAGAGTCAAGATCAAGTAAATCCTCCACGCCCCTATCTAGGGATTTATCATGATCGATCCAGACACAGAAGCCCTCGAACATGCCATTGCGGGTGAGGAAGGACATGACGGATGAGGGATTCTGGCGGTTGAGGATGTGGCGGGGGAGTTGTATCCCACTTCTGTCTTTGGTGGATGATGCAAGCATGCGGTGGAGATGTGTTGCGCTGCTGAGGTCCAGGAGGAGGTCGGTTTTTTCATTTCCAATTCCTCCGTTTCCAACTCCATTTCCAATTCCATTTCCTGTGGTAGGGGTAGCTGTACCACCACCACCACCACCACCACCGCGTCTCTCCGCAGTAGATAACAACGAAGCAGACGTAGTACTCGAAGACAACAAAGGGCGATCATACCCCACCCTAACCCTCCAAAACCAATTACACGCGATGAGACTCACGATACACGGCACGAGCACGACATACCCATACCACATAGTGGCGGTAACCATGCTCGCCGCGCCAGCCACAAGGCCATTGATCCCATTCACGAGAGCATGGAATTGCAGACTGCGGAAGCGGAGTTTCAATGGGTGGTGGTACATTCTCACTTCTTCGATACCAGTGTCTTCTTCGTCTCCCGGATTAGGATTATTGTTATTATTACCATTACCGTCCCTTGTTGTCGTTGTGGATGTGGATGTGTTGGTAATGTTCTGGCAACTTCTCCAACACACCTGAAACCTGCCCACCAAATACCCCGACCATATTGCATTAACGAGTCCAAATACCGCGGCTAATCCATTGCCTATGTATCCACTGAGCAGGTTGCTGGCGACGTAGACGCGATGATTCGCGCCGAAAATCGCCATGATGGTTCCTGTGCCGACGAGAAGCGCGCCGAACCCCATTAGCGCGTCCATCAGGATCCGGTCGACGATTTCGGTGCCGAGTTCGCGGAAGTTGACGCTGAGTCTGCTTCTTAGTAATAGCTCTGCTTGTGTACGAGTGGCTGTGGTTGAATTTGGGGTTGTATTTTGTGTTGTTGTGTTTGTTGTGGTGATGGAATCGAGTAACTCGCGCAGATACCGCCGCTCTTTCAGGAGGAGCTGCACGTTTGTGTAACTGAGGTAAAAGTCCCTCGCTGCCACTAGGGTGATAAGCAGGGCGATTGGTCCACCAATGGCCATGAATACCATCGCGTATTTCGGGACGGGGATCTGGTTCCACACGTTGGCGGCGAAGTCTGCTGCGTTGGCGAGTTCGAGGAAGCCGACGCCGGCGAGGAGGGAATTGCGGAAGAGAGGTTGGTGAGATAATTGGAAGTTGTAGTTATGTTTTCGCCTTGATTTTTGTTTCTGTCGTGAGGTGCATTTGCGGAATGGATTGAGGGTGGTGGTGAGTTTGGTGGATGGTTTTCGGTGGGCGCGGGTGTAGGTTACATTATTTGTCGGAATGATGCTGGTGGTAGACGTGGTTGTGCTGGGGGTTGAGGCGGAGGTGATGGTGAGGTCGCTCGACTCGCGGAGGAGCTTGGGGATGGGAGGAAATGACATGGTGGTGGTGAGGTGGGAATTGGACCACCATGGGGGAGGGACATGGGGTGAGGAGGGAATAAGAGAGGAGATGAGAAGAGAGAGAGAAGAAGGGGGAAGGGGTTGGGGGGGATGGGAGATGGGCTATTTGGCCGGATTGGGCCTGGGACATGGGGTGGGGCCCGCCCTGTAGGGCTGAGCCGATCATCCGTGGTTGGCCCTATTTTTGGGGTTACGTGGCCTGCTAGTTAGCAGCTGCAGATTGCGTCCTGGGATAAATGGTTCACCGCTGAGATAGGATACGTATATTCAGTGGGTCAATTCTATTCTATTATACACAGGTGTTTATACACATCATAATTATAAAAACTTTGCTTCCCGCACCATCGACGCCTGGAAATATCCCGGAATCACTTCGTATTCTTCCACCGCCTCGAACCCATACTTCTCATACAGGGGCCGTCCCGCAGGCGTGGAAGCCAAGAAAGTCGGCACGCCTTTCTCGTCTGCCCGGTCCAGTCCCCAACGCAGTAACCTCGATCCGATGCCCCGGCCGTTGAACTGGGGGAGAGTGCCCAGCATGTCGAGGTCTGAGCGATTAGCATGATGCAGGTCATACTACAGTAAGAAAAAGAACAACTCACAGAAATACCCCTCCTTTCTCCCTCCCATGACCCTCTTCTTCTCACTATTCATCAAACCAAAGAATCGCTCACAGAGATCGGCATCCGAGCTTGGGGGCCAAACAGTCTTGGTTTTATTTTTCTCACCATCTGAGGTCATCCCCTTTGGGACAGGATACCACCATTTGGCAAACGCAGCTACCGTCCCCTCTTCACCCGCAGTAACTTTCAAGAATGCAGTGCTGGGAGTCGCAGCAGCCCGCGACTGTTCAATCTCGCGTTTGAACTGGTCTACCCAGAAACTACGCACATCCTCGGTAACGGGAAACATGCGTCGACTGAACGGGTCGGAAAAAGCATGCAGGAAGACATCTGCGATAGCGAGGCTATCAATAGGCGTCGCGGGGAGAATGCGCAAGTCATCTTTCTGGGATTTCTGGTGGGAGCGTGCGGGGGTTGGCTTGGGTTGTGAGGGGGTGCTGATTAGGCGGGTTTGCAGCTGTGGACGGATGCATGTTTTGGGCATGGTGGGGAGACGCAGTCGATGCATGATGGAGATAATGGGATGATATCGGTTCTGACCGGGTACACTAATGGCCGACTAGCTGACTTCGAAAAGCTTGAAACAAATAATTGAGAATTGCTTTTTTGACTCATTTGATTCCTGTGAAAATATTGCCACTTTTTGCTGCTATCACGTGGTTCCGATGGAATGATTCCGAGATCGTTCCGAGATGAGTGTGTGGAGATGCGATTGATCGGGCCATTTTCAGGACATCATATTATGAAGGATGAAACTGGCGAGAAACGGGTGAAGATTCAGAGTGACAGTGAATATTATGTTAGGTAGCTAAATAGGTATTAGCTGTGCTAAGCCGAGCTACTAGGCAATAGTCGTAAGACTAGTAGGATAATGGGATAGGTGTAGGACGAGCTTACTGTGCACAGGCAGTAATATTTAGCTACTGACTATAAAGTAATTCACTATCTTTTACTCATAATTATGTAGTAATGCCCATTCTTACTCACAATCTGTGACACTCAGCCACCACAACGATTTACAGATGCCTGGCAACCCGCGGATTCCGAGCTGCATATAGGGCTGACCAACAAGCCTCTGGTCCGCAAGGCGAAACCCCTAAGCTTTGGAAACCGCCCGCCAGGCCAATCACGGCCCCCAAATACACCTGTCGCCCCACAATGGCTGTACCCTGGATGGCACAAATAGGGTCCAGACGAAACAAACATGCAGCACACCAGGCAGCCATATTCTAGGGGTCGACAATTCTTCACGATGTTGCAATTAATCGAGACGGGATATGAAGGGAAGTCAGTAATGGCAGACGGAAGGTTGGTAGCAAATATTTGAGTTCATTGTCGTCAACGGCGAATCCCACACGATGAAATCAATTTTCTTAAGTACGAGCCATTAGGCTTCCTCATAAACGGGGATTCCCGTGTAATTACTCTCCCTGGTCCCCACAGGCAGGGTTCGCGCCGATCAACAGCTTCGGGCAGTGCAGCGTCTCACTCACACGCTGCGGCCAATGGCCATGCTGACGGCAGCCTAGAGGGTTCTCCTCTTTGTCCAATTCTCCTATATGTCCTGAGTATAATTGCACATCTTCTGCTTGCTCTCTTCTGTTTCTACTTTTTCCTATTTGTATGTGTATCTGAAAACCTCTCCTCTACCATATCAATTATACATACTTCCCATGAACACTCCAACATGACCTCTTCTACCACCCGCAAGCAGAAGAAGCCCCAGCAGTCCAACCGCAAGGTGCTGCTGGCCGACACCGTCGGACAGACGCTGTACGAGCGTCTCCTACAAGCCCGACTCGACTGTCCCATCGCCCACTGGGCGCCTGTGCACCATCCTCTGGCTCCTCAGCCCTCATCCACCATCAACTGCAACCTCAGCATCAACAGCACCAGCACCAGCACCCTCACCACCTCCCCATCAGCCTCTACCTCCGACATCAAAAGCATCCCCTCCAGCCGCACCAGCCATGACTCGCTCCACAAACCCTCATCATCATCCTCATCACTCCCACCCCTCCCTTCCAACCGCATCATCACTCTCGGCGGACCCTGCACCAACCTCAACACCCTCACCACCATCGCCCACTTAGCCGCCAAATACAGCCAGGTCTCGCACATGTCCCTGCTCGACCCCAGCTACACCGTCTTCCTCAACACCACACACACCGCCGCGCTCTGCTTCAAAGTCGTACACCAAACAGCCATAGTCGCCGGCGACCCCATCAGCTCGGAAGAAAACATCCCATCTCTCCTCTCCGAATTCAAAACCTATCGCAAATCACACCTCCTCGGCATGGCCTTCCTCGGCGCCAGCCCACGTCTCACACACTACGCTCAAACCCAAAGCCAAACCCAGACCACTACGAAAAACAACTGGACAATGCTCCACTTCGGGACCTCACGCGTCCTCAACCCCACCACCAACGCCCTCCTCAACGAATCAACCGGAAAGCGTCTCATTTTACAAAACAAACAACTCCTCAACCCGAATAAAGGCGGTATAACCCTGGACATATACATTCCCGGCAGCAATCCCACATTAGAAAAAGACCTCCAGGAAATATACACAACATGGCGCACTACCCGCAACACCTCATCTACCCCCCAAGCCTTTATAACAGAATACACCTCCCCCTTCTCATCGACTCTCCTCCCCTCCCTCATGACCTACATCTACGCCAAGGATAAGAACGGCGTGCCGCTAGCTTTCGCAGCCCTGCGCTTCTGCGGCGCTAACAACGGATACCATATCGATCCGTGCGTGGCGCTACCGACGGCTCCCAAGGGACTGACAGACCTGTTGATGTTCGCTGCGATGGCGCTGTGTCGGCATGCCGGGGTGGGGTATTTGAGTGTGGGCTTTGAGCCATTAGAGGAGTTGGGCGAGGTCAAGGGGCTGAGGGGCCCGTTAGAGCATTTGGCGAGAGGGGCATATCGGTTTGCGTTTAAGCGGTTGCCGTCGATCCAGGGGAAGAAAGCGTATTATGATAAGTGGAGGACGGAGGAGGGGTTGGAGGAGAAGTTGTTTTTGGTGTTGACGGGGGCCGGGGGTGGACTGGGGGTCGTGGCGGTGACGCATGTTGCGAATGTGAGGATTAGGAGGGTGGTTTGGGGGTAGGAAGTTTCACTAAAAGGGGAAAAGAGGGTGTGAGTAGGTATGTTTTAGGGTAATTTTTTTTTCTTTGGTGTATATTTGGATGCGTGTATGATATGGTCTGGTATATGGGGGCTTGCATAGTATTTCAGTTGCATATGAGTTCAATTGAGCATAAAATTTGTCTTTTGGTCACAAGTGTGAAGCATCACTACTAGACGCCCTGCTACTTACTACTTAATGTGGGATATTCAAACCTAGATCCGGGTAAGTACTTGAAAGCAATACGAAAACATGCACATGCAGACCAGACGTGGCTGAATGGGAGTTGCTGGAAATGCAGACTGCTGAAGGTTATTCTCCGTAGGACCATACTGGTGTATATACTAGATTGCTCATGGGTTCGGTACGAGGACTGCGTTGTGATTTACATGCACACTGTATACTATACATCTGGGAAGCACGCATATAAGATATTGGGTCTAACATGCTGTGTGTTGATCAGATCTAACGCTCTAGCTAAACACGCCATTTCCGTCTGAATTTTGCTCTGCTTCTGCGAGGCTGAAAAGGTGCATCGTGAACGGAGATGTAATTAGTTGAGTAAGAAAAGCGGCCTCTACCATCACGTTGGGGAAGCATGGCCCCGCAACAACCTTGGCTACATGTGAAATTCGAAGAGAGTAGAGTTGGTATAAATGAGGATTGTCATCATCCCTGAAAGTTCTTTTCACAGAAGTATAACGTCCCAGCGTGTCTGGGGCTTAGCCCAAAATACCCTAGTATCACTAACTCAAGAGCTGCGTGATAGAGAAACATAGCCTTCTTCTGTTATTCTGAGCTACTCGCTACTCATGAGGCAAACAAGCCTTCGACGTGTCTTACGTGTGTGTTCTTCTGTGTCATGTTCAAGCTTAGCAAGGTGCTATTTGAGCTAAGTAATGCAAGGCCGTGTGCCATTCTCTCATCATGAGGCTTACGCCATACCCATGTCATCGTCAGTCGCCCAGTTTGACAACTGGATGAAAATGTTCCTTTGCTGCCTATTCTCCCTCGACTCGATGCCATGATCTGTGGGGCAGTGCCTACGCTCTGAAGAATAAGAATTATCATGCAGCAGAGCAATGCATTTGTTTTAGACCACAACCATTGTTCTGTTCGGAGGACAGCAATTTGGCTTGTACGTGACAATGTTCCTAGTTAGATCTCGATATAGTGCTTCGGGCCTGCTGCTCACTGACCCTAACTTGAACCCTATGGTGGCAAATACGGATATGAAATCATGTCCCATGAATTTGATGCCCAATGACATTCATACAAGCGCCGTACTAAGCAGTAGGTCATATCAGTCCTCTCGTTCAATAGAGGAACCATACTACATTGTGGGACTATATCATGAAGGCTGATCTTTGCGAAAAGCCCATCCTTGAACCATCTCGTTAACTCTTTACCGTGATGATCGCTGTTTAGCCAATCACTGCGAATAGGTCCCAACTCAACCTAAACACTGAAGCAACAAGCTTATTCCTGACCTCTCAGAGTATACTTGGGCACAAGATATCCCAGAACAAGAATTCGAAGGCATGATGATAGTTAAACGATTCACCATGATGGAGTCACGTGTATACACGTGCACATCCTGTTCTCAGACCGCCTTGCCAGCCACTTCTGTGTTCATCTTTCTATGTAGCTGGATTCTATATTACACTCAGTTCATGACAGCTTCAGGTCATGACGTGGATTTCGTACCCTGTACTGGTCTGATCATCTACTTCCATCTTTTGTCCTGAGCGGGGGTGTATGCTGCAAATACCTTCCCGATCCTTACTGACCACGCGGGAAATCAGCCGATCTAGATCAACAACCCGGGTCTGGACAGTGGCAGACATGATGCTGGCGACGAGCTCCTAATTTATTCTAATATAGAGAAGGACGTAGAAATTCTTCTTCCATGGGTCTATGACCAAGCCAACATTGCCCGGGGGACTCACTTGTTCGACTGGCCCGACGAGGATCATGAATTTCGCTTCCTGTTCGAGCAGTTTTTCGCTTACCAGACTGCTCTTACCCCCAAATCATCTTGTTCCATTGGCCCTATAACATCCAAAGGGGAGATTACGCTGCCCCGGATGAACTGGAAGGTGGCGGGGCGAGAGTCCCATCGCTATTTCGTTTCCTCACAGGGCTTCATACTACGGATTTTGATGCAGATGGTCCATAGGAAGCTCAAAAGAGTCATGAAACCCGAACAGACGCAGGGTCTGGAGATTCGGTGAGTGTTTGCTCCTTCCGTGTCAGATAATCAATGAGCAAATATCGAAAAATTACTGACATCTAGTAACAGGTCTCCTAATTTGATATCATCATCCAAGTATGTAATAGGGCGTCAAATGTATGTCAGCAGGCCGGTGGGTCAGGTGACAGTTGGTCCCGGTGACGATTCACTGCCGATTATCTCTTATACCGGGGTGCGTATATTTCTTCATGTCACATATTCCCTCTACCGTTTTTCTTTTTTCTTTTCCTCCGGTGTCTCTTGGCTAACAAGCTACAGTGGTTCGAGGGACAGACCTGGGAGGAGTTCGTTGGGGAAGTTCTCAGTGTCATGCTTGGCCAGCTGGCAAAAACTTTTACCATTCACAAGCATGATCAGGGGCTGCAGGATCAGGAGATCTTCGTGATTGGCTTTTATGGCCCTCATATTTACATCGCCCGTGGGCATTTTCCTACTGATGAAATCAGCAGGGTGCATTCGAAAGGATTATCGGGCAACGAATCCTTCGAACTGGAATTCACGAGAGGGTATAATCCTTGCCAGAAGGATGATTGGCAAGAGGCTATGCGGGCGCTGACAAGGCTGTTTCTATACCTCCTGAGTGGAACTTAAAGGTTAGCGCCATGCAATGTTTCTTGTCAAAATCTACCTCAATGGCGGAGGATTCATGATGCACGTTGCAACCTATCATGGGCTGTGAATACCCATTTGATCATTCAATGCTTTGCTTGGATTCTTAAGGAATAGTGGAGTTATCACGGTGGTTACTACTTTCTCGTAAGCAGATGAAGAGTAAGTTCGCAACGATATTATCAGGCGAGCAGAGGAAAGAGAAAAAAAAAGGAGTCTTTAGGCTAGCTGGCCTACCTCCAAATGGATTACCGGCAGCTCAGAAGTTCGATTCGATCCCGAATGGATTCCTGGAAAATTAACTCCCACCGATCCATCGTTGATAGCCACGTGCCATGCTTCTTGCCACCTTCCATTTGAATCTGGCCGGACCGGTTAGGCTATACAATTCTTTAACCTTCCAGTCATCGTACAATCTCGTACCACCAGGGCAGTGCGCGTTTACTAACCATGCTAGGTTGGGTCCCTTGCGAGGTCCCGGAGTAAAGCAAGTATTTATCGGCTTTCATATTCGAAATCGTTATTCTCGCGAATAGCTTGAGCGCTGTAACATTCTGAGCTTCGGACTTGCCCTCATTACTAGATGTGGAGAGCTCTGAGCTTGGGGTGGAACTGTTGCTGATTCTTGATAAGGAATGAAGTACTACTATATCATGCAGTAATACTGATATAGGAGCTAATACTGCTATGCCCTCTTACAATATAGTAGATCTGCTGACTCCAAAAGACCAAGCGCTGAATACTTAATGAGGAATATTATTATGTGTCTCATCACAGACTTTAGTTACAGGAGCTTGATCCGACGAAAATGGCTTTAAGGTTAGGCATATTGACTCTTTCGAGGAGCCTTGTGTGGAGACACTCCTGCTATGGTCCTAATAATTATTATGACTTCTACCTTGATGAGGATACAATGATGACGGCCCTGCTGTGGGTCTTCCGGAGTTGGTGGACGAGAGAGGAAAAAAGAAAGAAAGAATTCCCGGGACTGATCTTCAAAGACTCCTCTGAGTATTCACTACGGTGATAGTTGGGACACTCTTTCACCTGCCAAGCACTGACTGTGAACGGTACCACCAAGGAAGTAGGAGTGAAGTCAAAAGCTTGCTGATGGTAGTCGGGTAGTTTACTATTGATGATACTCCACGAGGTTGCAGACAATGAATAGCATTATTACTCGCTCCTAACTAAACAATTTGATTTGCCCCCACCCTCCAATCCACATTATTCACATCTACTCATCCACATCTCTCGGATCATGCGTCCTCCAAAACTCCTCATACTCCTCGCCCGTCTGCCCCGGCACGGGCTGATAAAACGTCAACGGGGCAAGAGGAATGCCCAAATGCTCCATCTTCTCAATCTTCCTCCTCGTGGCCTCATGCCTCTTGTTGACACTATACACACTAATGCGATGCGCCGAGGACGTCACATGCAGACCCCAATTCCACGCAGCCCGCACATTCAACGGCTGGGTATTCAACGAATTATCCCAACACCGACAGACAATCTCAATCCAACCCTCAACATCACACGGCAACTCCATCTCCCACGTCCGCCACGTCCACCTCCCCTTCTTCGACAACTTCTCCTGCGGCACCGCATACCAACTGAACCCTCCATCCGCCGATAACTCCACCCGTTCCGGCCACCGTCCACCCCCGGAATACGCCCACCCCTTGCACCGGATCTTCCCTTCATGGATAATCACCTGCTTCGTCCAGGGTGACATGATCGCCGAACTGACCGGCATTTCCTGGATCTGGATCCCATCCGTGGGAAGCTGGTTATATTTCCCGACCTGCTGGTTGAAGTAGAGATACTCCCTGCTCTGCACAGGTGCTCGGGATGGGTTCTCAATCGCCTTGATCCGATACAGCCACTTGACGCTGCGCGCCCCGATATACCCCAGCACCACAACCCGTAACGGATACCCATGGATCTTGGGCAATGGCTCCCCGTTCATCTCCCACGCAAGAATCACCTCGTTCGCCTTGACCTTCGACCACGGCACACTCACCACGTAATTCATCGCCTCCAGATCCTTGATGTATGTCTCCGCGCCATACAACTCCAGATGCTTCGCGGGCGCAATCAACCCCCCACAATCCTTAATCACCTTCTTCAGACTGATGCCCACGTACCGCGCCGTCCCAATCGCCCCTTCCGCCCACGGGGCTTGCGGCACTTCATCGCCCTGGCCCCCATACAACGCGATCTGCTCGATCCGCCGCGTCCCCGAACACTGCATCGTCACGAGTTTCTCCATCCGCGGGAACCGCGTCTCATCCTGCAGATCCTCCAATGTATAGTTCTTCGGATGCTTGACCAGTCCATCCAGCTGGAGATTCCACTTATCTTTCTCAATCAGGGGAATGCCTCCGTGATTGCGCACAAAATGCAGCGGATTCGGCGTGACAACTTTCGACGTAACCAGCCGCTTCGGCGGCTCCCCGTTATACGGGAACTGGAGCAGATGCAGCATATCCGGATGTTTTTCCCGGAGCACAGTGCGCCAGCTATCATCCGCCACGGAGGCAAGTTCCCCGCCTAGCGCGGCGTGCCATTGCTTGAAATCCTCGCCGGTCAGGACGGGGTTGGTGTCGGGGATAGGACCGAACATGTAGTCTGGACAGGGGGTAAAGGTTTGAGAGGTGAGGATGCGGTGCGCTTTCGCTTTTTTGTCGGGGTAGTTTTCCCATTCCACGTATCTATACCAATCATGTATCGTTAGCATAAAACATTATGATATAAAGGGATATGGAATGAGGGAGAAATACCCCTTCCACCCCTCCTTCTCCCTCTTAAACAACTCATTCCGATCCCCAACTGCCTCAATCGCCTCCTCATCTTTATACCGCTGTGTCGGCTTCGGCGGGTAGATGTGCACGGTGTCCAGACCGGATTGATCGAGGATGGGCAGTTTGTGACCTGCCATGCCTTGCTCGATCTTCCATTCGTCGGGCCGGTTGGTCGTGTCCATTTGGGCGGTTAGGGTCGTCATGGTGCTGGTTTGGGTGGCCATTCTTTTTTCCCCCCCGGGATTAGCAGCACTTTATTATTTATATTGAAGTGAGATGTTTGTGATGTGTGAATAGATGGGGGATAGTGGGTAGATGGTGGGTGTTATATATGCTTGTTGAGGTATAATAAGAACAGAAAAATAGTAGTTGTAGTTGTAGTTGCAGTAGTAGTGTATGGGAGAAATGCGCCGGAAGCAGCAGATTCAAAAAAGAGGGGAAGGAGGGGGGGAATGCATGTATATTAATTACATGGTTGATTTAGTGAGTGGTGGAATGTTGGAACGGGTGACTTCATGACTACCACTACCACAATCACTACTAACTATAGATTAGTGTAGATCCCTGCTGTGTGTTTACACCCGAGGAATCGCCGGACCTGTCGGGTAGAGCGGGGAGGGAAGGGATAAGGTGGGATTTCTGACTGGGTTGAGTCAGATTAGGATATTTCTTGTTTTGCGGTGGATGGTGTAGGGACTTGTGGTATACTTGTTTCATGGTGGATGGATGTAGGGAGGGAGGTTGTAGGGCTGGGGTAGCTAGCTGGTGTGGACTCTGGAGTGGGTAACGTTATCATTAGGGTGGATCTGGGACGTAGCCGTGCTTCGCAGTTAGTAATGGTGCACTGGTTAAATGAGGTTGGTAAGTGGCATTGGAATGGACGTGATTGGTGAATGTGCGGTCTAGATCCGGAATTGGGTTTGGGGGGAGGGGGTTGTTGTTCCGATGCATCCGGATATCTTGTTGATCAGAGCAGTGTGGATGTTATGAAAAAAGGGGGGGGGGGGGAGCAGATAAGGGTTGCTGTATTGTGTATAATTGTTTCACTGTAAATGGTGTGTGATAAAACTTACAATCTGAGAAAGCGTATTGAAACCGCCCCGTCACAGCCCATATGCAGCAGATTCCTCCGGATGGTTGGATTGGCCACTGCCATGCACAAGAATGCGCCTTGACGTTTTTTCTCCGAAAGCACTAAGCAATGACAGCTGGCGTGCATTCTTGACCATCCTAAAACAACACCATGATCAATCAACACTTTTATACCCCTAGCTACAAAGTACAGCACATCTACCTGTCTATTTTCTACTCTCCCCCTTCCTCACCACTTCCTCCGTAGCCTTTTTCACCCCCTCCCCTAACCCCGGATCCACCTTTGAAAACAGCTCTACATTCATCAGCACCATCACCTAAAACAAACCAAAGAAATCAAGGGATAAACTCACCATAAACCCTCGCCCTCAACTTATCACTCCATACCTGCCCTAAATGCACCGCCACATTCCCAAAGAACCGTTCCTGATGTCCCTCCTCCTTCCCAATTACCTTCCACAACCCCCTCGCCTGCACGAAATCATCTTCATACAGTCCATACTGAAAGTTACTCACCTGGCCCACCCACTTCTCATGCTCTGTGAGAGTGCTGACAGCCTGTGGTGCCTGTCCTTTGACATCTTGGTAGAATTTGATCGGCTTCAGAGATGACCCGACGTAGTTAGGATCAGCACCGTAGTTGTCGGAGAAATTCATTTGCCCGTCGCGCTGGTAGGGACAGTACACTTGGGTTTTGGCCGCGTTGGTCGGGAGTTGTTGGTAGTTGGTGCCGACGCGGTAGCGCGCTGCGTCGGGGTAGGAGAACATGCGCGCTTGGAGCACTATACCATATATATTAGTTTTGGATTGGACTGAGGAGCAGATAGTGTAGGCTTACTAGGATCGGCGGATGGAGCAATACCAGGAACCAGATTCGATGGGGAGAAAGCGGCTTGTTCGATATCGGTGAAGTAGTTTCGGGGCTAGTCAATTAGCACAACGTTGTCAACCATTCGGATTCAAGTAGGGAGCATACATTCCGATTCAACTTCATCGTCCCAATCTGACGCAGCGGAAAATCACTATGCGGCCACACCTTGGTCATATCGAAGATATTCCATCGGTAATTTTCAGCCTGCTCAGGAGACATGACCTGCACGTAAACATTCCAGGTCGGATAGTCTTTCCGCTCGATGGCTTCGAAGAGATCCTGGATGAGAAAGTCGGGATTCTCTCCGGCCATGCGGACGGACTCTTCCTTAGTGAGGTTCTTTATGCCCTGGGTGGTTTTGATGTGGATTTTGACGTATTTGAAGGAGCCATCCTGATGCAGAGTTATTGGGTAATCTTAAAACTGTTAAATAGGGGTAATACCTTGAGGGTGAATTTGTAGGTATGTCCACTGTAGGCATTTATGTGTCGCAAAGACGCAGGGGTGCCTCGATCACTGAAGAGATGGAGGAGCTGGTGGAAGCCTTCTGGGTTTCCGGCGTGGAAGCTAGCCAGTCAGTAGGATATTCACTCCTATGTAGCAGTAAACGTACTCCCAAAACTATCAATGACAAGTTAGCACCTGACCCAATCACGACAACTCATAGATGAAGAAAGAATACCATATTTGGATCCGGCAAATGCGACTGCGGATTCCGTTTATGAGACCGATTCAGCGACGGGAACTTGAGCGGATCTCGAATGAAAAAGACGGGCTATCACCAATACATTAACTTCAATATACTTTCACTTCACATCTCATCAACGAGAGGTATTACCGTATTATTGAACACCCAATCCAGATTACCCTCATCCGTATAAAGCTTCATCGCCCAGCCATGCACATCACGCAAGGTATCGGCTGATCCAGCTTCCGGACCAACGGTCGAGACGCGCAGGAGTAACTGGGTGGTTTTGCCTATTTCGCTGAGGAAGCTGGCGGAGGTGATGTCGGAGCAGTCGTGGGTGCAGGTAAATTCGCCGTATGCGCTGTGCTGTTAGTAGGGCTGTTGTTGTTGTTGGGGAGGTAGAGGGGGAGGAAATGTACCCGGCTGCTTTGGCGTGGACTACGCTGTTGAACAAGCTATTAGTACATGTAATGATGGTGATGGAGGTTAGTGGACTTATACCGCTCTGGGATCCGCTCACGAGCAAAGTGAGAGAGAGTTTCAATGAGCTGGGTATCCTGCATTAGAAGCAGGCCGCCATTGCCGCTGCGCAACTGCACCGAACTGGCATTGCTGGCGTAGGGGCAGCCTGGAACATTAGTATACTTTTACTATATGTAAATTTATAAGGACATACCTTCGGCGAGGGTATAGTAGCGTTGATCCATTATTCCTAGTAAAGCAATTGATGACAAAATCGACAAGTTGCAATCTGCCCACTGCAATACACTAACTTTCCTCCAAGAAATCATGTTTATACTTATACCCTGCCCCCCCCAAAGTCAATTACATCACAACACACCACCCAATGCTTATCAAACCTTACCACCACCATCATCAAATAAGAGACACTCTTTACTCATCCAAATAAATTACAACGTTAAACCGTAGCAAACTACTTTACCACAACCCTAACCCCCATCCCCCCCTTAACCTCCCCACCTTTCACAACCACCCCCAAAACCCCCCACCAGCCCTTCCTGACCCCCCGAAACGCCTCCCTCAATCCAGGTCTCACTCGATCCAATCCCGGTCCAGGCTCTCTCACACTCGTAATTACCACCACTGCCCCATCATCCTGATTCCCAAAGTGTATCTCCGTACCAGGAGGTAGATTCCCCAACTCGATGCCCTCCGTCGTCACGTTTTCGCCGATTCCACCCGGGGTGAGGGGCTTGGTGCCCTTGAAGGAGGTGGAGGAGATGTGACGGAGGGATTCGATGGGGAGGAGGTGGATTTGGCGGAGGTTGCTGGCTGTAGTACTGCTGGGGGTGGAAGAGGTGGTGTGCTGGGTGGTTTTGCCTGCGTGGCAGTCGCCGCTGACGCCGTGGTTGGGGAGGAGAGTTATTGATGGTACTGGGGTTTTGGAGGTGGTGTGGGTGGGGGATTTGGAGACGGAGAGAACGCGGGGGAGGGTGGTTGTTCCTGTTAGGGTTGTTGTCGTGGATGTAGTGGTGGTGGTGATTGTGGACATTGTGGTGTGGATGGGATGGTTTGTATACAGAGTGATTGTTTGTTATGATTAGTATAGAGTGGATGGTTAGGAGTAGATGATGTTGGGATGTAGTCTGGGATGATACTAATAGAATAATGGTGGGGTTACCCCTCCTGCCAGCTCAGCGACAGGGATCATCATCAGATGATTAGTCTCTGCTTGACGGAAGCTTAAATGGTCAGTACAGTGTATATATGGTTGGTTCCTCATCGGGTAGGTAGATCTCAACTACTTCAAATATGATCTTTAGCTCTCCAGATATTCAGAATATTTTGCATATCGAATGGCAACTCAATAGGTATAACCCGCCAAATCCCGATCCCATCTCCCTCGGATACAATCCTCCAAATCCACCTCCCTGACCAACAACCCATCATCATCCAACGATACTCCTCCCCTCGAACCCGCCAGAATCTCTCCAAACGGACCCACTATCCACGCTGCCCCTCCACACCCACTCTCTCCCGACGGCCCTTCCCTTCCACTACCACTACCACTACCACCAACATGAACCTGTCTCTGCTCCACTCTCCCCGGACTCATTTCCCCATCCACATTCACACTCATATCGGCATTTGACTGTCCTGGCCACACAATCTCATGCGGTCCCTCCGCCATCACAGACTTCCGTGGTCCCACAGTAGCAGCTGCACCACCACCATCGGCATGCCGAACCTCCGGCCAGACAATCTCATGTGGCCCTTCAGCTGTAATAGACAGGGACCGTTTCTTCGCGCCTGGGGAGGATTGCCAGCTGGGAATACGGGTAGGAGAGCCGAATTGGTGTTGATGCGCAGGTTGAGAAGTGGTGTAACTTCCTAGAACGAATACTCTTCCTTCGACAGCTACCGTGCGCAGTAAACTCTCCCATAAGCCAGTTTCATCGCCACCATCGCTGTCACCGCCATCGAGATAGGAGACACCGCCGAGGGAGATGTAGACTTGGATACCAGCTGTATAGAGTTCCTGCCGAATAAGCGGACGGTAATTCTCCTCGCATAAGCCGACCCCTATCTTCACCTCGAGCCCACTTTTGCAATTGACAGTGATCGGAGATGTGTGCGGTTGTCCGGGAGAGAGATATGTCTTTGCTGCGCCGGTCTATACGCTCGCCATCATGTCATTAGCATACCCATCCATCCCCATACAGAAAGACAAGGGGTACAAACCAACGCAAAACACCTCCTCTTCTCCACCAACCCATCCGCAGGATGGATATACACCACAGTATGATACAGATTCCCACACGCGCGCTCCAATAACCCCACAATCAAGAAAAGTTTCGTTTCCTGAGCGAGATGCTCCAGGATCTCTCTAGCTTTGGATTTCTTCTCGGCGTGGCATTCGGGATTACTTCCCGGGTCGGATAGGTCGTGAGCGCAATTGAATAGCTTCAAATATTGATCCCTTGGACTCTTATTTCTTGCTGTCGCTGCAGCTGGTGTCGCGTAAGACGGGATGACAAGAAGATGAGCGCCCTTGGACGCTGCGGAGTGCGCGAGCTGGGTGATTTGGGATGGGGAGGTGGATGTTATGGTTGGGTGGGCGATGGCGAGGGTGAGTTTTCTGGGAGACATAGTAACTATTGAGGTTATACTAGATTATGATTATGACTATTATGAGAAGGATCAGGATGATCATGATGATGTTGTTTGAGTGGTGGTGGTGAGATGACGAGGTTGGAGTGCGGAGAAGTTACAAAGTTAGACCCATGGTTACATGTGACGTAGTGCACTCTTTGTTTTGGCATCAAACGGCCCCTGACAACACGTCATTAGATTATAAAGCTTTTTCAGTGACTGTTGAATTGATACCATCTACTAATTAACTACTCGGCCGTTACTGATGACAAAGGTGTAAAGGTGTAGGAATAAATCAATCTTCCGGTATTGCGTACATACATTGATTCAATGTCTTATAATACATAAGCTCAACGCTAGACGCAAGAAATAGCTGCAATGCAAGCCCATGCGCCTCGCTATGACTCCAATTTTAATACCCAAACAACCCGTTCATCACAACTTAAGCAAATTGTATAAACAGGAAAAGATCAGTTAAACGTTCATCCCCTTTGCGGTCGCAGCTTGCTGCAACACCCGCGGCCAGCGAGAGATCATTTCCACATCGTCCAGCGCGCCCTTGCCCTGGTTGCGCACGTATTGCGCACTAGGGTCCACTCGCGGCTCGTAGTCCCAGATCGATGGAGTGCCCTGGATCAGGGCAGAGTACACGAGGCGTCGGCGGCGCTGCGACCGCAATACGTCCTCGCGGATCTTCTCCAGATCCCACCGCGCGTGCACCTCCTCGGTAAAGTACGCCAGCAGCTTGGCCGGCTCACGGCTCTCCGGGAGGGCATACGCCGACTTGCCCGGGCTAGGGGTGCGCGGGGGTGTGGGGAATGGGAACGACGCACGCTGCATCGGTGAACCCCGAGGCGAATCGCCTGGCGTGGGCAGCGGCGCAGGGTTCAATTGTGTGACAGGCACGGGCTTGGGAGCCTCAAACGACGGCTTCTCCGTCAGCCCCGCCACCAGGTTGACCCGCTCTTGTGGGTCGGCCTCCAAGTCGAACAACATGGGTGGGTCAATCAACGAGTACACAAACTTGTAGCGCCCGCGCCGAATCATGACCGTTGGCGACTGCGTACCTTCCGCCATGTACTCACCCAGCACTGTGTTGGTCTTGACGCCGTCCTCGCCGGTCAGGTAGGGCATCAGCGACACGCCGTCCAGCGGCAGCTCGCGCACCAGCGGTGCCCCCACCATCTCTGCGAATGTCGGCAGCAGGTCCATGGTCGAGACGTTCTCCTTCACCCGCTTGGGTGCGAATCGCTTGGGCGCGTTCACAATGAACGGCACACGCGACGAGTTCTCGTACCAGACCATCTTGTACCAGAGACCGCGCTCACCCAGCATGTCACCGTGGTCGCCAGTGAAGACGATGATGGTGTCGTCGCGGACTCCGCAGTCATCAAGCACCTTGAGCAGCTTGCCCACGTTGGTGTCGACGTACGTGCAGGCAGCGTAGTACGCGCGGCGGGCCGCCTTGATACGCTCCTCGGGCATCTCCTTGCCCCAGAGGTCAATGCACTTGAGCACACGCTGCGAGTGCGGATCCTGCTGGTCCTGCGGGATAGCCGCCTGCTTAGGCAGCGGGATCTCGACATCCTCATACAGATCCCAGAACTCCTTAGTCATGGCATAAGGGTCGTGGGGATGAGTCATGGACACCGTCAGACAGAACGGCTGGTCGTTGCGCTGACGCACATGATCATAGAGGTACTGGGTCGACTTGTAGATGACCTCCTCATCAAAGTCAAGCTGGTTAGTGCGCACCACGGGACCTGCCTCCATGACGGAAGACATGTTGTGGTACCAGTCGGGACGGATTTCCTATTTCGGTCAGCATTCCGCCATTCCCCAGGCCGGATGGCGGGGTGAATAAACTTACCGGCTCATCCCAATTCACTGACCAGCCGTAATCGCCAGGATAGATGTCGCTGGTCAGGCGCTGCTCGTATCCGTGCAGCTGATCCGGACCGCAAAAGTGCATTTTACCGGCCAAAGCGGTATGATAGCCTTCACGGCGCAAATAGTGAGCGTAGGTGGGGGTGTCTGCGGGCAGATCGGAAGCGTTGTCGTAGGCGCCGATCTTGGAGGGCAATTGACCAGTCACCATGACGAAGCGCGAGGGCGCGCAGAGCGGCGAGTTGCAGTAGGCGGAGTCAAAAACGACACCTTCCTGCGCCAACTTGTTCAAGTTGGGGGTCTTGATGGGGGAATCCTTGTCGTGGAAGGCCAACAAGGGGGCCGCCATCTGGTCGGCCATGATGTAGAGGATGTTAGGCTTCTTCTCAGCCATGATGATGATGGAGGACACTCTCTGTCCGGGGATGGATGCACTGGATCAGGATAGAAGTGAAGTCAAAAGGGGAGACGCGTAACGTCGACACCAAAAGAGACAATGATGTCGGAAGGTGTGACGGGGAAGGTTTAAAAAGGAAGGAAATGACGAAGGAGTATGTGAGAGAGAGAGGAGTGTCAATAGGAAAATGGAGCGGACGACAAAGAGAGACAACCGGGCCAGAGAAGGATATAAGTAAGTCAGGCGGAGCGAAGGACTGGTGGAGACGGAAGACAGTAGACGAGCAAAAAATTGACCAACCAACCAAAGCATCCATGGGTGGGCAATGAAAACCGGGAGGGAAAAGGGCGACAGCCGCGCTACCGGGGCGTGTCGCACCAGATCTCCATGTCACCGCAACAATGGAACCATCAGCGGGGACGATGGTGTGATTGCGGAAGGTTCCATGGTTGGTGACGCAGGGAGGGTGATCTCACAGCCACGGGAGGAGGATCTTCAGGAGAGCCGAATAGAAGAATGATTAATTGTATCTGGGGGTGTTGGTTGTTGTGTATGTATCTATCTATCTATCTCCTGGAACAGAAACAAATACAAAGTCCCGAAAAGTTTGCTGCATGGTATCTTTTTTTTCTGCGACTAGACTAGTCTACTATGGTAGTTCCGTTAGCATTATCTTTTCTGCTGCTTTCTGCTGCTGCCCCCGGCATATTTCAAAGAGCCAGAAGTGGAGATCGGCAGAACCGCCTGATAACCGCCCGGGGCTCCCCAATCACAGGCCAGAAAAGGGGCCACCGCCAATCCCTCTGATAGGCAAAGGATTCCTCGAGGCGTTGCCACGCGAGCCAATCGCGGTGGCGCGGTTCTTTCGATGGCGACACTAGTAAAACTGGTACTTTAGTCTAATCTATGGACTTTTATCTTAGCCGAGTTTGTACCTGTTACTATTCATCTACACCCTCTCCACATTCCTTGAATCTCCCTCCTGCCTGTTTTGTCTGAGATAGACAATCCGCTGACACCGCTGCTTCGCTTCATTTTTCGAAATGAACCATCTTCCCTTCCCCGGTCTGCTAGCCGAGCATCCCGCTGCCCACTAGTCCTTTTTCAATCACCCACTCTTGGCCCCTTGGCAATAGGTTTATTGCTGATTGGTCGCGCTGTTTCCACCCCCGGCCGCATCCGACAGGGGTTCTGAGGCTGC